GGCAAGTGCTGTTAGCTAGCACACACAAGATAAAGATCCCCCGTGTAGCCTGTAACAGACTGTTGGGGCAAGTGCTGTTAGCTAGCACACACAAGATAAAGATCCCCCGTGTAGCCTGTAACAAACCGTTGGGGCAAGTGCCGTTAGCGAGCTGCACCTACGAAGGCCGGCACGGCACACGAGGTGGGAGGGGGGGGGGGGGGAGCAACACCACGCCCGGCCGCCTTTGTCTCCAAATCCCCCCCCCGCCCCCCCCGCCCCCCCCCCCCCAAATTAAACGCGGGGTCCGGGGCAGCAGCACGGATCCGAGTCCCCGCCCTCACCTGGTGTCGTTGCTGCCGATGTAGTGGTGGTGCTGGTGATGATGGTGATGATGTTGTAACCACATCGATCCACACAGTTCCTCCAATCAGCTGCACGCTGCCCATTCTCGAGGACACCACGAAGCAGAGAAGCAGCAGCAGAAGCAGCTGCGGCTGACCGGGGATCATCATTCTGCTCGTGGTTGAGGGGGGGGGGGCAGGAGGGGGCTCCGAATAGAATCTTGGAAAATGTTTAAAGTTGCAAATCTTGATTTTGGAAAAAAAAAATTTTGGTAAAAAAAACCCCGAGAAAAGTTGATATTCTGTTGGAAATCGAACGCCTTTCGTGTACGCGCGTTATCGACAACGCGTACTGCACACACGCATGTTGATCACATGTACAACTTGATGCTGTTGTTATGTGTGCGCGCGTGTCGGCTAGACGGAGGCTCCTTCAGCGGACGGGGCCCAACACGCGGATGGGCCAGCGAGCCACGCATTTTAAATTAATCAATAAAAGGTTTTTAAACCACCCACCCCTCCCCCAGCCCCCCTGATTAACCAATTAAATAATTATCGCCCCCCCCACACCACCCGCTAAGTGAGTAGCAGCTGCACCTATGAAGGCTACCGGCACTGTGGCACACGAGGGGGTGGGTGGCCAGAAACCACGCCCGGCCGCCTTTGTCTCCCCGGCGGCCATGTTTACTACACGCAGCACCAGGTACTCATTTGAGGCGAGGTCGACCTAGGGGAGGCCCAGGACAGGTTCAGATAATCGTCACCGGTGGGTTCGTAGCGCTAACCGCTGCACCACCGCTCCCCACCGCTCAACATACAGACACGCACACGTGCACACTTACAATTAACTTCCCGTGATCCCACTTCACTAAACCCACGTCACACAGCACGTGACAAGGCGATGTTGATCGCAACAGAGCCAATTGGTACGCAGCCTCTATGGAACCGTGCTTGCCAATTGAGTTCGACGGCGATGATTGTGACCTATTGGCGTCCAGGTGTTTCGAGTGAGACGTCGATTTCATCTCGCGAGGCCAGTTAAGGGGACGGGTTTATACTGGTAGGAACCACCTGGTTACACCAGCCCACAGGGCATTATTGTGTCCGTCGTGCAGGGAGGGGCTGGGTGGGGAGGGAGGGGAGGGGCTGGGTTTGGGAGGGAGGGGAGGGGCTGGGTGGGGAGGGTGGGGCTGGGTGGGGAGGGGAGGGTGGGGCTGGGTTGGGAGGGGAGGGTGGGGCTGGGTTGGGAGGGGAGGGTGGGGCTGGGTGGGGAGGGGAGGGGAGGGTGGGGAGGGGCTGGATGGGGAGGGGCTGGGGCTGGGTGGGGGGTGGGAGGGGTGGGGCTGGGTGGGGAGGGGAGGGTGGGGCTGGGTGGGGAGGGAGTGTGGGGCTGGGTGGGGCTGGGTGGGGATGGGAGGGTGGGGCTTGGTGGGAAGGGACTGGATGGGGAGGGGCTGGGTGGGGAGGGGCTGGGGCTGGGTGGGGGGTGGGTGGGGTGGGGCTGGGTGGGGAGGGGCTGGTCACCCCGTGGTGCCCGTATAAAACTCAACGTTTCACCTACTCACGCCGGCTTGTGCCCGCCCTCACAGTCGGCTATATTTGCGGAATACACCACGCCGCCGTTGACCCTGCAGGCCATTGACCGAGCAACCCGACGTTCCTACCAGCTCCCTCCGCAGCAGGACAACGTGTTTGTTCGCCTGTGCCAGTCAAGGGGTGTCCGAGCGCCGTTGTTAATCGTCTTAGCAGCTCAGCGAGGGAGTTGTGAGATTTACTCAGCGGGTTTTGGTTCATCTTCTTGGTTCTTTCGGTAAAGTCACGTAGAATGGAAATAATCAAATTAGACCTGGTCTTCACCTGAGGACGGCTGCTTGCGTTGTGGCCGAAACGTCGTGAGAATTGTATTTTATTATGTTTTATTTTTATTATTTTATTATTTCCCTTCTACGTCACTTTACCGAAAGAACCAAGAAGATGAATCCCTGCAGTCACGAAAGCTTTAAATCGAAATTTGGTCTTTGGTTCTTTCGGCAAAGTGGTGGAACAACCACAGCGCCTGATGGCGGACGCTTGTGTGTTGCGCCCGAAACGTCGTGATTTAATTTGATTTATTTGAAACCCACGTGACTTTACCGAAAGAACCGAAAAGTATGGATCCGTGCGTGTATGGTGAACTTCTTTCGCTCCGTACGTAGCAAATTGTGCTAATCGGAGGTGCGGTGTTGAGTCTGTGTCCGTGGACTCAACACCGCTCCTCTGATGGGCGCGTTTGGGGCCGTCCATAAATGACGTCACGCACCTGGGGGGGCGGATCAGACATTTGTGACGATGTGTGACGAGGGGGGGAGGGGGTGAGAAATGTGACGTCACATCAAAATGCGCAACTTTAAATAAATAAAGAATTATATTCCTGGTTCTTTCGGTAAAGTCGCGTAGAAGGGAAATAATAAAAATGTTTTACCACACACACGCTACGTACGGAGCGAAAGAAGTTCACCACATATTTTTTTTATTTTATTATTTCCCTTCTACGTGACTTTACCGAAAGAACCAAGAATATGAATCCCTGCAGTCACGAAAGCTTTAAATCAATAAATATAGGATTGTTATAACAACAATTGTTATAACAGCATTCCTACAACATCAGAGTGCAGCGCCACATTAAATACGCACTACAATGACAATAGTTGAAAGCGATTTGAAGCAAGTTTTATTTTCAAAATCGAAATGTTTTTGGGGGGGGGGGCAGAGCTTTGTGACGTCATATTTGAAAGGGGGGGGGTCTGACTTTTTGTGACGCCGTGTGACGAGGGGGGGGGGGGGTTAAAAAATCATCCAAAATCGCGTGACGTCATTTATGGACGGCCCCTTTGGCGCCGCAAAGCACGATTTTAAGTTCAGCGAACAGTCCCATACGTTGCATAGATCCTGCGGAGGGAGCTGGTAGGAACGTTGGGTTGCTCGGTCAATGGCCTGCAGGGTCAACGGCGGCGTGGTGTATTCCGCAAATATGCCCGACTGTGAGGGCGGGCACAAGCCGGCGTGAGTAGGTTAAACGTTGAGTTTTATAAGGGCACCACGGGGTGACCAGCCCCTACCCACCCAGCCCCACCTCTCCCACCCAGCCCCTCCCCACCCAGCCCCACCCCTCCCCACCCAGCCCCACCCTCCCCAACCAGCCCCACCCCTCCCACCCCCCACCTAGCCCCTCCCACCCCACCTCTTCCCACCCAGCCCCTCCCTTCCCACCCAGCCCCTCCCTTCCCACCCAGCCCCTCCCTCCCAACCAGCCCCTCCCACCCCCACCCAGCCCCACCCCTCCCCACCACCCCCATCCCAGCCCCTCTCCCCACCCAGCCCCTCCCTGCACGACGGACACAATAATCCCCTGTGGGCTGGTGTAACCAGGAGGTTCCTACCAGTAAAAACCGCCATCATCCACTGTGCAAACCATGGCAGCACAAGTTGCGGCGAATGCTACCCGATGCACGAATGGGAAAATAAATACAAACTTCAAGGACAGTGCACACATCATCAGAGTTGTGTGTTTCGTTTGCATTATGGCTGCAGGTATTGTGGTCTATGCAAACATGACTCCTTGTAAAAAAAAGGTGTCAGTTTTGTTGCCAGATAAAAGGGTAAAAAAACAATTATCATATTTTTTTACTGGCAAATGAGGTACCAATGGTGTCTGCGGTAATAGTTAGTGGTGGCGCGATTGTGGTCATCCAGAACAGAGAGCTGAGTACAACATGTGACGACGCAATGCCCGCCGATCCACAAATACGAAGTCGAAAATCACGGTGGCGATGATGAATTTTTTACCTACGTGACTTTATCGAAAAAAACCTAAGGATATGAATCCTTGCAGTCACGAAAGCTTCAAATCTAAAAATGATACTACTCCGCTGGTTACTGACGTGGTTGTCTGGCTTGACCCACATGAATGTGACATTGTAAATTATTGGCTCTGCATCTACATCAGCAGCCGTACACGAGGAGACTAGGAGATACCCAAAGATCCAGACTCATAGAGATGCACAGAGACTCGGAGACCCCGTAGAGATATGAAACTCGTATATAGCCAAAGATCCAGACTAATAGACGCAGCCTCGGAGACCCCATAGAGATCCATAGACTCATAGAGACCCATAAATATATATTCTTAGGTTTTTTCGGTAAAGTCACGTAGGTAAAAAAATTAATTAATAAAAGTTAAATAAAAATCACGTTTCGAAGGCAACACAAATCCATTTGCTTGATGCAGCAAGCGTGCTGTGGCGGTTCCACCTGAAGACGGAGGCTTGTTGCTCCGAAACGTCGTGATTTTTATTTTATTTTTATTAATTTTAATTTTTTACCTACGTGACTTTAACGAAAAAACCCAAGAATATGAATCCTTGCAGTCACGAAAGCTTCAAATCTAGAACCCATAGAGATCCAGAATAATAGACTCATAGAAATGCATAGATGAAGACACCACGACGATAATTATATTATACACTGCACGACTCCTGATGTGGTTGTCTCCTGGCTTGACCCACCTGATTGTGAAATCGTAAATAAGCTCTGCTGCTACATCGGCCATACACAACGAATGTCCTACGACGCAAAACAATTCAGCACCAACAACAAAGTAGTCGTTACGATAACAAAAAAAGCCTTCATTGTATCCTGAAGGTTTCAATTTGTTTTAATTACGAGCAAAAATGGCAGTGCAGCAAAAAAAAATCCGTTTGCTGTACTGCGGCAAGTCGCACATACGCTTCGAACCTACACCCATTCACACAGACCGACAAAGTGTGATCATCACCGCCACCTGCACGGGGAAGGGGAGGGGGGGGAGAGAGACACTCATCCAGCAGTGGATTGCCACAAGGCCTGTACATTTTATTTTAATACCATCGTAGATTTTTTTCGTGGAAGTACACAATTTTTCATTTTTTTCTCCCAATCAATTCAATCAGTTGGTATTTTTTATTTCATTAAACCTCCCGTCCAAATAAAACGCACGTAAACGTGGAAACCCAGCGACAAGACGCCAGAAACGCCGACAAAGTGATTCTCTTCCGCAAACGGATCCGTTATTAAAATGACATTTCATTTTGACCAAAAAACAAGCCGACGGGGGCAGTACGAAGCTCCGTTTTCGCCGGGACGCCGATTGCAACTCCACACCTCTAGCAGGCACATCAGTGACGATGCCCTATGCACATAATCGCATCTCAGGAGACTTAAGCGAAGGGGCGTTGAGCCTCGTCAGTGCCTGGATGGATCTGGCACCAGGCACCAACGAGGTGTCAAAGAGTGCGTGCCGAGAAGCTGTGGGTGGCAGGATATCCGGTCCAGAGAGTGGTGGGGGGGGTGGGACACCCATTGTTGTTCTGTACTCCTCATTAACCCGCACCGACACGCGTGGCGATGGGTGTGGAGAGAGGCTCTCAGGATTGACAAAAAAAAGGGGGGGTGGGGGCTCGTGGGTAAAGGTTAAAAGTTACAACCAGCGGCTTCGTTTGAAAAAATAAAATGTAATCTGGAAGAACCCCGAATCTCTTCTTGACAGGAGCCCAGCGGCGACCCACGAAAGGAAAGAGTCTTCCAAAACCTGGGTTGGAAGTGAATCAGCACGTCACTTCAACCCAAGGCAACTTAAAGAGCCGAACGTCAGCGCAGTTGTAACTAGGCCTCGGCAAGGTAAGGTAAAAGTGTAAAAACAACGAGGCTACCTTGACCCTACCTTTTACCTTACCACAATACAATCACTCTACCCTACATTTTACCCTTGAGCAGGTAAGGTAACAGGTAAAAAGCAACGAGCCTTCCTTTTACCCTACCCTTTACCCTTACCCCTTGGCATGTCGACACCTTTACCTTTACCCTTGTACCCGGTAAAAACGGTACAATCACCTTACCTTGCCGAGGCCTAGTTGTAACCGAACACATTCAGCACGCTTCCCCGATAATCGGCGACCGCGCGGGTCGCCGACGTTACGCAGGCGAGGTGTGCGGGGGGGGAGCGCAGGTCGCGAGGTCGCGAGGTCACGAGGTCGCTCTCGGGGGCCGGCGTGTTTTTTTACTACGCAATCCGGCTTCCACTGCACCTCCGGCACAACGCGAGCGAGAGCGAACGTACGGGCACAGTTCACGCGGCTCGTCGCCACGAGGCGGTTTTCCTAGCGGCCGCATCTCGCATAAAACTTCACCCGTTACGATGTTTCGGTCGCATCTCGCCAAACTTCGCCGGGTTCGGCGAGATTCCTCTGCGGAGAAAATGTTTTTCGCTCGGAAACGCGCGGCGCTCTTTCGCGGACGCGTCTGCCAAGTTGAACGAGGAATCGCCGCGAGTTCGAATCGGGATGCCAGACAGCAACAGCAGGCGCGTGGACTTCCACCTTCGCTGGCGGCAGTATCCTATGCTCCCCCCCTTCCTTTGCCCGGTGCGTGGGGGACACGTTCATTCCGATTGCGGAGGGAGGGAGGAAGGGGGAGGCGGGGCGGTGTGTGCAGGGGGCTTTCCCACACAAAATAAAATCTACGATTCGTTAACTCGTCACCATCACTTCTACAATCATCGGAACGGCGGGCGCCGCGCGCTGGGACGAAAACGGGCGGGGCATTCCGGAGAGAGTCGAGGTTGCGAGTGGGCGGGCGAGTAGGCGGGCGAGTTAGCGGGCGAGTGACCTTGAGAGCGACTCAAGGGGGTGGCTCTACCACCCCCATACCCCACCCCTACGAAGCGATCAGCCGTGCGAACGGATCGCTTTCTCTCTCAACCGTTGCACCGAACCACTGTCCGAATTCCGAGCGAGCGGTTGCACCCCCCCCAACGTGGACGACGCGTCCCGTTGGGCCGTGGTTCGTCCTAACCACCGCCCCCCACCCCCCGCCCGCCCCCGTCCACCACGTCAGGATTGCAAAAACCGGTCCCTTGCGCGTCCGCAAATTTGTGCAAGCGATGGACCGTCACGGAGATCAACAGTTTGCGTCTACCGGTTGCACAACCGCCACACGCAACAGCAGTTGGGGCTACATCGGCATGAACGCAATTTAGTTTCACGCAACTACGGCTGTGCGATTGACTTAATCGGGTGTGGTCCCTGATTAAGAGATTTATTTAAAAAATTATCATAGTATCATTAGAGGCTGCTCCTCACCGAATGAGATAGTAACCAGAGGAATACGCGGACCGATGGAATATCTGCCGCCACCTCCCCCCCCCCACCACCACTCTCTTCATCTTCCTCATCTTCAGGGCAGGGGGGGTCCATTCATGCCGGGGTGGTAGAAGGCGCACGTGTTTCCGTAGCGGCAGCCGCCCTTCTGGGCAAAATGCCTGCAGATGGGCTTCTTGGACATGTCTGCGGGGCGAGAGGGAGCGCAAGAGAGAGAGACAGGGAGAGAGAACACGCAGGCAGCGATCAAAACAAAGGGCAGAGGGGAGCGTTGAACTTCTTTCACACCGTACGTAACCAACCGCGCGTATCGGACGACGGTAAACCCTCGCGACTACGCGAGTTTCGCGAGTGGCTAAATGCACACTAAAAAATCTGTAATAGGCTTCACCGTTTTCCCAGGTTTTAAAGATGTTCAAACACCGAACAGATACCTCTTGCAAGGCATCAAGTCTGCATTAACCCCACGTACTCGTGGCAAAACATGCGAACGCGCTCCGATAATATACGCGCTGTCGATTAACACTCGAATACCCGCGTTGCCTTTGGCATCGTGGTCTAAATTTAAATAAATTCCTCGCAAATTACTCTCCAATCTATGGGACCTTCTTGCCAGGATCCAAAACGATAAAAAATAAGAATATGTTTTACTCGATTCTGGCAATATAACTGCTCGGACCCGAACTTTAAGCATTCTGATACTTGCGTTGTCTTTGCCCCGTTCGCCTTTTGGCGTTCTCTGGTCTAACGCTGGTGCACAGGCAAGAGCCACGCAGGTCGTCCTCTGGTGTAGGCCCAATCAGTTTCCAAGGCAACGCTCACACCGTACGTAGCCCACCGTGATAAACGGAGGTGCTAACCCTAACTCCACCGTTACCCCACCGTACACACAAGACAATGATCCACATTATTACCACCAGTACGGCATTCGAGGATAAACAACACACGCGCACGTGTACAATCACGTGCACGTACCCACACACACACACGTATACCCATACACAAGTCATCGTACAAACACAGCCACAAGACGAAGACCACCTCGTGTAGCCTTGACAGATTGTTAGGACAAGTGCTGTTAGCGAGACCCTATGAGAAAGCCAGCACGGCCCAGGAGGGGGTGCGGGTGGCCAGCAATATGCCCAGCCGCCTTTTTAATTTGAGGCTGAGTAGAACTAGAGGAGGCCCAGGACCGGTACCGATAATCGCTGTGAACGGTAATCGAACTCGGGTTGCCGGATTCGTGCTAAACTGCCCCACTACCACACCCCGCAAGCCATCACAAAGATCACCAATCACAGCTACACACATTTCCAGCTACCTCTTTTCTGTTTCTTAATAACCACATGAATCCACCTCCTTCCCTCACTCCGTTTGCTTCCTCCAGGGCTCCGTTCTCTGTCCACGTAAGTTCTCCTTCTACTCGCTCTCGGCGCACTCGCCCATCCGGACACGTTCACATCGATGGTATGCTCAGCTAACAAAAATGTCAACTTTTTATTATTTTCCAGAAGCGACCTGCTCACAAATCATAGCTCATCATTCATGCGGGAAATTTATCGCAACCAAACGCTCGAAACGCACGTCGATTATAAATGTGGAGGGGAAAAACCGGAGGAGCCGAAAAAAAAATCCGCGCCACCACGGGGAGAGGCAGACTCGCAAACTCCAAATATACAGCAGCAGGCGTCAGGGTCGGGATCGAACCCACGAACCTCCTGCACACCAGGCGAGGTAGTTAACATCTCCTAGCCACCGTGATGATGATGAGAGAGAGAGAGAGACACGCAAACTCCAAATATACAGCAGCAGGCATCAGGGTCGGGATCGAACCCACGAACCTTCTGTATACCAGGCGAGGTAGTTAACATCTCCTAGCCACCGTGATGATCATGAAAGAGAGACACGCAAACTCCAAATATACAGCAGCAGCCGTCAGGGTCGGGATCGAACCCACAAACCTCCTGCACACCAGGCGAGGTAGTTAACATTTCCTAGCCACCGTGATGGTGATGAGAGAGAGACACGCAAACTCCAAATATACAGCAGCAGGCGTCAGGGTCGGGATCGAACCCACAAACCTCCTGTACACCAGGCGAGGTAGTTAACATCTCCTAGCCACCGTGATGGTGATGAGAGAGAGAGAGACACGCAAACTCCAAATATACAGCAGCAGGCGTCAGGGTCGGGATCGAACCCACAAACCTCCTGTACACCAGGCGAGGTAGTTAACATCTCCTAGCCACCGTGGTGACATCTGATAGCACCAATATCACAGCAGCTGCCAAGCCCAAAGCTCTGACCTGCGAGTCACTCCACCCACCCCCCGGCCACTTCCCCTCGCCCTACTCTGCTCCGACCGAACAGTTTTTCGACCCAATGTATTCTTGCTCGTCGTGACAGGAAATTTGGCCGAATGTTCGGATCGACCCGATATTCGACTCACCTATGACGTAGCCTCCTCGCCCGCGCTCCCCGCGAAAACTGCCCACTCCCCGCCCCCCGATGGCCATGGTGGGGCAACCGCCAGTTGCACCTTGGGGTGGAGTGGGCGTATACGGGGGAGAGAAACACAAGACAAGGGCAAAGATCCCCCATATAACCGTTACACACTGTTCAAGCAAGTGCTGTTAAGCGGGCACTATGGCACACGAGGGGGGTGGGTGGCCAACAACAACGCCCGGCCGCCTTTGTCTCCCAAGTGGCGATGTTTACACAACGCACCAGGTACTCATTTGAGGCTGAGTCGAACTCGGGGGGGGAGACCGAGGACCGGTTCAAGTAATCGTCACCGGTGTTTGGCGTGAGCGGGAATCGAACTCGGGTGGCCGGATTCGTAGCGCAACGCGCAAACAGCTGCACCAATGCTCCACTCACCACACACATAAACAAATACACACACACATGAAAACAATGATCTCCCCGTATGACATACACAGGCGGTTGCTGCTGTTAAACGCTCAATGGGCTTTAGCTGGAAAATAAAAAGTTTACTTTTAAATTTTGTAAGTGATGTGATTGCTTCTCCTATACTTTTGCAATGTTTGTTGTTGTACTCTTTGTGACCCCGTGCCCCTTACTGGACCTCTGTGGAAATAAGATCTGCGTAGCTGATCGGATTCCCCCCCCCAACCCCCTCCGGTATAAAGTTTCTCATTCGGATTCTGACGAGCACAGAACGGTGTGTGGGGGGGCCAGGAGCACGGGGAACGGTGAGGCCAGCAGCACGCCTGGCCACCGTCTACATTGCACCAGGAGCTCGTTTAAATTCAAAATATACAGCAACAGGCGTCAGGGTCGGCATCGAACCCACAAACCTCCTGTATACCAGGCGAGGTAGTTAACATCTCCTAGCCACCGTGATGATGATGATGAGAGAAAGACACGCAAACTCCAAATATACAGCAGCAGGCGTCAGGGTAGGGATCGAACCCACAAACCTCCTGCACACCAGGCGAGGTAGTTAACATCTCCTAGCCACCGTGATGGTGATGAGAGAGAGAGAGACACGCAAACTCCAAATATACAGCAGCAGGCGTCAGGGTCGGGATCAAACCCACAAACCTCCTGCACACCAGGCGAGGTAGTTAACATCTCCTAGCCACCGCCGTGACATCTGATAGCACCAATATCACAGCAGCTGCCAAGCCCAAAGCTCTGACACGAAGGACAAGGTTCCGAGACATCGCGTGCCACCGATGGGTAGCCGCCGCGCTCACGAATCAAATTCGAATCACTGGATTTGTACTGCAGTTCCGTAACGGCTGCACCATCCACTCCCACATCAAAAAACACCTCCTACGCATTTCACAAGTAGTACTAATCACATACCTGCATTTCCCATAAATATGCTAAATTCCTCTTGATATGCAAATTCCTTTTGTCAGGGCGCCCTTCCCCCCTTCCAACCCAGCTTAAATATACGCTCCAAGCGTGGTGGTGTTTCATTCAGACGCTGTCTCCCCGACAGACCTGGTCTTCACCTGAGGACGGCTGCTTGCGTTGTGGCCGAAACGTCGTGAGAATTATTTTATTATTTTTTATTATTTTATTACTTCCCTTCTATGTGACTTTACCGAAAGAACCAAGAAGAAGATACATGCAGAGGGTTCAGACATCTGCCACTGATGTTAGCCATGGCTGGCAATCGAACTCAAAGCCACCGGGAGTTTAATGCAGTGCCTACCACTCCCCATATCCATAGACAAGTAGCGCAGACATGCATACCATGCGTAGAGCACATGAAAAAACACGAACACACACGCTCCCCGACACAGGTACACACACACAAACCGGGCAGGAGAGTTAAAATATATATTGGGTAGTTCCATTTCAGACACTCCAAGGGTGCGGGTAATCACCTCAAATTCGAGATAATAACGATGTTTTTTTTTATATAGAGCAACTTTCATCTCATCTCTAGATGTTAACTACCTCGCCTGGTATACAGGAGGTTGTACGTCTCTCTCTATGTATCTCTGTGATATCTGTCTCTACTTATATGTCTGTCTATATGTCTCTGGTTCTGTGTTTTATCTCGCTCTCAAATTTAGCATTCTCAGGAAGAACGTAATCAACCAGGTAGGGTGTTGACTGTTATGTTATCCGACTCTCTGTTGTATTACATTCCATTTCTAAGTATACTAGATTTGTGTTTCTATTTCATTTATACCTGATGATGATTTCTTGTGTTGCAATCGAAACGTCGTATGCTAGTATTTAATTTATTATTTTCTCTTATACGTGACTTTACCGAAAGAACCAAAGAGTAATTCCTGCAGTCATGAAAGCTCCAAATTAAGTAGGAGGTTGTGGGTTTGATCCCGATCCTGACGCCTGTGCATTTGAAGCTTGCATATTCTCCCCATGGTCGCGTGGATTTTTCCCCGGGTCCTCCGGTTTTTCCATCCACGTTTAGAATCAACGTCGCATGCTCAGAGTATTTGGCTGCCGTTATAAATTTCCACGTGATAAGCCACTTTGCCGAGCTATTATTTTTTTGATAGCCGGGTTCCTTCTGAAAAAAAGCTACATAGTTCAGTGGGCATTACCTGCTAAAAAGTAAAGTTTAATTATTTGAAAGGGCACCCTCCATTGGCAATTGTCCCTGTGCTGGCATCGAAGTTTGCCAGTTGGGGGTGACCACGACTGATCTGTGGTCTAGCCTAGGGACGTCCCCCCCCCCCACCCCCGTGGCAGCTGTCTCTGTGCCGTGCAAGGCGATCCGTGTGCCAAGTAGGGAGGACGATGTTGCGTTAAGACCCATTGAGTACTGTGTGGCAAAGTGTAAAAATTAAATGGACACATTTGGACCGTGTCGCCAGCAGGCAAACGGCTTCGAGTGACGTCACGGGATGTTTTCACGTCCACCCTGAACCAGGCGGGGCTTGTTGCACAGTTAATTAACCCCTTTCGTACCGATAAAATAACTTTATCGGTAGACGTAGTGCCGAGGCGGCCACAAGGACACGTGTGGAGGGCGCGTGCGGCACAGTTTTCGTGCCCGCTATAGTCGAGTACACGGTGGTTGTGTCGCTACGGTTCTCTGCGGTGAGTAACGACATCTTTAAAAGCACCAGTGCTACGCCTCTCCAAATCAAACGGTGAACCAGCTGCACGTCACGAGATTTGATCGTCGAACAGGAACCCCCCACAGCAACTTGCAGACATCTCGGATCGTGATAAGGGTTAATACGCCGGCAGTAATAACTAGGGCGGCCCATCAGATGTGAACCTCCGCAACATGCGTCTAACGGCGCTGCTGTCAAAACGACTCTAGATTTGAAGCTTTCGTGACTGCAAGGATTCATACTCTTAGTTCTTTCGGTAAAGTCACGTAGGTAAAAAATGAAATAAAACAATAAAACAATAAAATCACGACGTTTCGGAGGCAACACAAGTCTCCGTCATCAGGTGGGACCGTCACAGCCAGATTTGCTGCATTAAGTGAGGCAAGGATTCAAGATGCAAGTTCTTAAATACAAGTTAAGGGGGAGGAGAGGGGGGGGAGGAGCTTATCAGAATGTGGTAGCCAATGAATGGAACGTAGCCCCGCCCCCCCTCCGGATACGTTCCATTCATTGGCTACCACATTCTGATAAGCTCCTCCTCCCCTCTCCTCCCCACTTAACTTGTATTTAAGAACTTGCATCTTGAATCCCTGCCTCACTTGATGCAGCAAATCTGGCTGTGACGGTCCCACCTGATGACGGAGACTTGTGTTGCCTCCGAAACGTCGTGATTTTATTGTTTAATTTTTTATACATTTTAATTTCATTTTTTTACCTACGTGACTTTACCGAAAGAATTAAGAGTATGTTCAAACCGACGTCTGGAACTATCGGAAGCGACGAGACCAATCAAAAGACCGGAGGACAGTGGAAGGACTTCTCACTCTATCCTTCACTGCGGCGTTGATAAACAAAAGAAGATGAAATCTCTGATTTAAAGCTTTCGTGACTGCAGGGATTCTCACTACGTTTTGGCCACAACGCAAGCAGCCGTCCTCAGGTGAAGAATGAAACACCACCAAGCTTGGAGCTCCAAGCTCCAAGCTTGGTGGTGTTTCATTCTTCACTCCAAGCTTGGTGGTGTTTCATTCTTCACCTGAGGACGGCTGCTTGCGTTGTGGCCGAAACGTCGTGAGAATTATTGTATTATGTTTTATTTTTATTATTTTATTACTTCCCTTCTACGTGACTTTACCGAAAGAACCAAGAAGATGAAATCTCTGCTCGTAGAAGAACTCGCACACGGCACGGTCATACCCGTAAGAGAGGTGTGTGGAACACTTATCCCCCGAGCACGTACCGAATAGGGCATTCGGACACCTTTAAGCGGGCAGAGGCCACACACGAACACGTTTCTTTTCACGGTCACTTCTATTCGTGCAAGAGGCCCTTGCGGTAAGAGCAGGGCGCCAAGGTGAGAAACGGCGTCAACACCGCCGCACGGAAAGTATTCACCCTCCGTCTCCAGTAACCGATGGGTGCGGGCTTCGAGACGCTCACGAGCGGAGGACGACATTTTGAGCAGGCGTCGTTTGGCAGTCGAGTCGTGCGGGATTAAAGCCGGGGGGGGGGGGGGGGGGGGGGCCGTGCCAACTGACGACGTGGAGCAAAGGGAAATATGCTGGCCGCGTAAAATCTAACGGTTTGTGAAAACTTGGCCCATGTGAAGTGAAATCCCGGGCCCTCTCTGGCCCCGTGAGCCGTTGGTTTGCCTGCCTTGGGGCAAGGCGTGAGAAGGGGGGGGGCGCGAGAGGGGGGGGGGGGGGGCGGGCGGGAGGGGGCTCTCACCTGGGAAGGCGGGCTGAGTGCCGGGCGGGAAGGGCATTCCGTTGTTCATGGCCATGAGGATCTGCATGGCGTTGTTCATGCCCATGAGGAACTGCATGTCGTTTTGCATCATGGGATTCCCGCTCCCCTGCATACCGCTCGTTCCTGTGACAACGCGACAGGGCCGTCGCCCGGGGGTTGCTTGCGATTATTGTTTGCGATTATCATCAGCACCGCCGCCACTTAACATTTATATTTATCCTCGCGCTAAACATTTGCGATTCAGCAAAACTACCCGCCCCTCCGCCCCAGTGTTGGATTACAGGCGTAATCGCCCCAGACAATCTCACGCATCAATGTTACAAAAAATATATTTCCACAGGCCAAACAACGGCGTATACCTGTTGACTGCTGCGAGCTCTGTTTGCTTAGAACGGCGCTGCACTGCGTCATCGTTTCTTCAGACAACTGTTCATAGAAATGCACGCACGCACACAAAGATTAACACACACACACAAGACAAAGACCCTCCTTGTATAGCAAGTGCTGTTAGCGAGCACCTACGAAGGCCGGCACTGTGGCACACGAGGGGTTGGGTGGCCAACAGCACGCGGCTTTAATCCCGCACGACACGACTGCCAAACGACGCCTGCCGCTTGGAAACGGAACTCAAAATGTAGTCCTGCTATAAGTTTTACCCACCAAACAACATAGCAGGAGGCTGTTTTTTCCTGACCTGCTTTTATGCTTTTACCATCTACACGGCAGAGACTCGGTCTCATTTGCAGAATTTTGTTACGTAGGCTAGGCGTAGTCACAAACCGCACCTCTCCATAACAAAGGCTCAGTCATTTGTTATGTAGTCTATTCGTAGTCTCAAGCCGCACCTTACCATAATAATAAAAAGTGTGTCGTTCTCCCCCCCTCAACCATTATATAAACGGAGTGGTATCTCTTGTAATCTCTCATTTACTTGATACAGCTGTCGGGCTGTGACGGTTCCACCTGAAGACGGAAGCTTGTGTTGCCTCCGAAGCGTCGTGATTTTTATTTTAATTTTATTAATTCTAGATTTGAAGCGTTCGTGACTGCAATGATTCATATTCTTAGGTTTTTTCGGTAAAGTCACGTAGGTAAAAACATTAAAAAGTAAAATAAAATAAAAATCACGACGTTTCGGAGGCAACACAAGCAGTCTATTCTTAGTCTTAAGCCTCACCTTACCATATTATTAAAAAGTATGCGGCCCTTGCCCCACCGCCTTCTCCAACCATTATATAAACGGAGTGGTAGCTCCTGCAATCTCTCATTTACTTGATACAGCTGTCGTGGCTGTGACGGTACCACCTGAAGACGGAAACTTGTGTTGCCTCCAAAACGTCGTGATTTTTATTTTATTTTACTTTTTAATGTTTTTACCTACGTGACTTTACCGAAAAAACCTAAGAATAATTTTATTAATTTAAATTATAAACATTTTACCTACGTGACTTTACTGAAAAAACCTAAGAATATGAATCCTTGCAGTCACGAAAGCTTCAAATCTAGAATGTAGTCCGCCGCTTATGAGTATCTCGAAGCCCGCACCCATCGGTTACTGGAGGTCGTGCGCGCTTGCGGGAATGTTCCCAAGCGTGGCGCCGCTCACCTGCTGCCCGTTGTCCGCAGCCTGCAGCGCAGCCTCATCGGCGCCGTTCCCCGACGAGGAGGCGTTGGCGGAGCTCCCCTTGCTGCCGTAAACTCGTGTCGAGTCAATTCCTGGAGCTGAACACGGTGACACAGAGGAGGCAATTACGCTGCATTACTTGCTACTTGTGGTTGGGGCGCTGAGCTACAAATAAACTAAAAAGTTTTTTTGTATTTTGCCAGGTAAGGCTCCGCTCAGCTATGCAGCTCCTTTCACGGAAGCGACCCCGGCCATCACGAATGACTGCTCAACGTAAGTAGGAACGTTTGATTCCGCACACTCTTATACGAGTCCAGTCCACCGCAATTGTTCAAGTAGGCACTCCGAAACAACACGATGTTGAGTCTGTTGCGGAACTGACTCAAGACTCAGGGACGGATCCCGAACATGAGCTGGTCGCGTGTGCCAGGTCTTTGGGTCAGAGACCCCAAATACTCTCGACGCGGGACATTGATTCTAAACGTGGAGGGAAAAACCGGAGAACCTGGAGAAAAATCCACGCGACCACAGGGAGACAAGCTCGGTAACAGCTCGTGGCCATCGTCCGTGGCGAGTATCTGAACCAGTTCAGGATGTCTCCCTAGGTCACCTCGTCCTTACACGAGTACATTGGTGCAGTGTGTAAACATCAGCACTGGGGGAAACACAAAGGTAGCCTGACGTGCTTTCAACCACACCACTCCCTGCTAGCCTTTGAGAGAAGACGGAGCATAATTGTGACAGAGGAGACGCTTTGCATGGCGTGACAGGCAAGATAGCTTCCACGCGGCTTTATGCAGCTGATAACTCCTCTTGATCGTTCGACGTGGATCCACGGTGACAAACGCGGTGATAAAGATCCCCCGTATAGCCTGTAACAGACTGTTGGGGCAAGTGCTGTTAGCGAGTTGCACCTATGAATGCCAGCATGGCACGCGAGGAGGTGGGGTAGCCAGCACCACGCCCGGCCGCTTTTGCCTCCAGAGTGCCACTTAAAACACCGCACCAGCTCCTCATTTAAGGCTCAGTCGACCTCGGGGAGACCCAGCACCGGATCATATATTCGTCACTGATATTGGCCGTGAGCGGGAATCGAACTCGGGTCGCCGGATTCATAGCGCAGTGCACTAATCACGCTGAACTACCGCAACAACCGCCGTTCCCTACCAAGCAGCGGAGACGTCACCACGGCGCTTGTGCCACGCTAGGTGTACTTTGAGGCCACGTGAAGTATCAAAGGCCCGCTGGCAGGAGGCCACAAAACACGGACCCAGGTGACATGGGTCGACCGACTCCACACACGTAGACACGACAACAACCGCGGCCCGCCACTGACGCGCCGGAGACGTCACCACGGCGCTTGTGCCGCTCGCCCACGGCGGCCGTGGGCGAGCACGCGGGCAGCCGTACCTGTAAAGATCTTGCGCACGAGCGCCTCCTGCAGGTTCTTGTTCATGCGACGAAGCTCCTCGTTTTCCTTTTTGAGCATTTCGAGCTCCAAAAGGGACTTCTGCAGCGACACCTTGGTGTTCCGGTAGTTCTGAACGGACTCCCGGTACAACAGCTGCGGCACCGTGCCGCCGGCGTCCTCGTCTCCGTCGTCGCTCGCGGCGGCGGCGGTCGCCGTCTCCATGCCGACGGGGTAGAGCAGCTGCAGGCGCTTGCCGCCGCGGCTCTTGCGCACCACCTTCTCGCTGACAGCGCGCTCCGCGCCTTCCTCGTGACGCTTGCGCTTGCCTTCTCTCTGCGTGTGTCCACCAGGGAGCCGCGACCGGTGTTAGTACTGTTAAACAGAGGTCGCAATCGGGTACCCGATACCCGTATCCTACTCGATACCCGGCTACCCGTACCCGGCCGGGTACGGGAAGCCGGGTACCCGTTTGCGACCCTGGTGCGGCCGGGTACGGGTAGGCCGTGAGTCACTGGTGAGTCACCGTTTGTCACTCATTTCCCAACGTCTTGTCAAGTTCCTAGACTCAACCCCACCCGCGCACTGCAACATGGCTTCATCCCAGAGGTCGCAATCGGGTACCCGTACCCTACCCGATACCCGGCCAGGTACGGTTAGCCGGGTATCGGGTAGGGTACGGGTACCCGTTTGCGACCCTAGTGCAGCCGGGTACGGGTAAGAAATCAAAACCCGTTTGCGACCTCTGCCGTTAAATAAATTCGGCTGCGAGAAATATATTCGACAGGCAGTTCTTCTACATTTTAGTCACCGCCGATGACAATGTACGTATGTGTGTACGTTGAGCTTCGTTCGCACCGCACGTCACCAACCGTGCTGATCGGAGGTGGCGAGGGAAGGACAACAAACTAAATACAGAAAGCAGTTCCAAAGAAATAAGTTTTCAATCTCGACGATTTAAAAGTGCATAGCTCCAGCGGCTTCCTATTATCGGAAGAGCACTCCAGACGGCCGCAGGAGCGCATCTGAAAGCGCCCGACGGAAATTCGTCAAGCGCGACAATGACTACTACTACCCACCAACGTCGTACTCAATTGTAAATTGTTTGGGTTTACTCGCCATGACACCAGTGTGCCGAATTAGTAGCTAATTGACAAGTTTAGTTCACATGACAAACTTTACTAATTGGCCGTGTCGGGTGGTGGCGGGTTCGCAGGTTAACGACACATTTATATCTACGCGCTCTGACCCAAAAACACTTACCACGATCGATCTAGGGGCCATTATGAATCCCTTGAGATGGAGAACCAAGCAATGAGGGCTCCATCCAACGGACAAACTCCCACCTCAGTGTTTAACACGACCATCATGACGCTCTCATCAGTAAGACCGAGACAGCGAAGAGTACAGCTTTAGTGGAGCGATCTAGGCGTGATTAAAAATCCCTTGAGATGGAGGGTCAAACTGAATCGGAATCTTTATTTCTACTGGAGGAATCCCGTCAGCTCAGTGTTTAACGTGGCCATCGTGGGACCCTAGAAAGGGAGAAAGGCAGCGGAGGGTATTGAACCCGGGCTCACGTGCGTCTGGAGGATCTCATCGCTGTCCTCATCGTCCTCCTGTGAGCCGAGCTCCTCGGCCGAGGCAGGTGTCGGGCTCCCGTCCAGAATCCCTGGAATCTGCATCCGCTTCACCACCTCCTCCAGCTGCGTCTCGCTCTCTGTGACAAAACACGAGGTCGGAGGGGGGGGGGCGGAGCGGTGAGAGGTGCTGGTGGTGAGAGGGTGGGTGTGACGAGGAACTTAATTAACTTCCGTCTCATCCAGCTGCGTCTCGTTCCGTGTCAACCGGAGGGCAACGGTGAGCGAGTGGCGAGGAACTTAACCGTTTCCGATGACGTACGTGAAGAATAACCGATGAAGTACGCGTACGTCATCGGCTTGAGGTACGCGTACGTCATCGGCTTCAGTACGCGTACATCATCGGCTTCAGTACGCGTACGTCATCGGCTTCAGTACGCGTACGTCATCGGCTTCAGTACGCGTACGTCATCGGCTTCAGTACGCGTACGTCATCGGCTTCAGTACGCGTACGTCATCGGCTTGAGGTACGCATACGTCAATCGGCTTCAAGTACACGTACGTCATCGGTTTTTACTTCCGGTTCAGTTTTGATGACACACACGTATATGTCATCATTTCCGTGTATGTCATCCATACACTTTGGAAACTAATTAATCATTAATCTCACCGGGCATGACGGCAACGCACATCCAGCTCACACAGTGACCACGACGACAACGGGTACCATTTACCGTACTTTAACAACTGTGGTCATCAGTGATATCGCGGACACTGACAAAGTTCTAGATTTAATTTGGAGCTTTCGTGACTGCAGGAATTATTCTTTGGTTCTTTCGGTAAAGTGACGTATGGTTTATACTGTACATTCACGCAACTGAATTATCACGATGCGAGATGGGAGCGTAACGCCATTGGTGCGTGTGGTGCGAGCGAGGGGGTTGCCTAATCATACTTCACCGCTCTGGTCAGTGATATTGCTCACAACACTGACAACGTTCTCGATCTTCTTGGTTCTTTCGGTAAAGTCACGTAGAAGGGAAGTAATAAAATAATAAAAATAAAACATAATAAAATAATTCTCACGACGTTATATTTTTATTAGTTTATTACTTCCCTTCTACGTGACTTTACCGAAAGAACCAAGAAGATGAATCCCTGCAGTCACGAACGCTTTAAATCGAAATTTAACGTTCTCGATGGCTAATACTGAAACACACATGTAACAGAGGACTGTAATGATGTGCGTGACGCCATGACGTATGGGGAAGGGGCTGTGGAAGGCGGTTGCTTAAAACTATAAACTAATTTATTTATATTCTACCATGTAAAGCCCCACTGAGCTATGTAGCTCTTTATCAGAAGCGACCAAATACTTTGAACGCCTGACGTTGATTCTAAATGTGTGTGGGGAGGGGGGAACCGGAGGACCCGGAGAAAAATCCACGCGACCACGGAGAGAGAGACACCGCAAACTCCAAATATACAGCAGCAGGCGTCAGGGTCGGGATTGAATCTACGACCTCCTGTACACCAGGCGAGGTAGTCAACATCTCCTAGCCACCGTGATGATGATGAGAGAGAGACACACAAACTCCCAATATACAGCAGCAGGCGTCAGGGTCGGGATCGAACCCACGACCTCCTGCACACCAGGCGAGGTAGTTAACATCTCCTAGCCACCGTGATGATGATGAGAGAGAGACACGCAAACTCCAAATATACAGCAGCAGGCGTCAGGGTCGGGCTCGAACCCACGGCCTCCTGTATACCAGGCGAGGTAGTTAACATCTCCTAGCCACCGTGATGATGAGAGACACGCAAACTCCAAATATACAGCAGTCGTCAGGGTCGGGATCGAACCCACGAATTTCTGCATACCAAACGAGGTATCTTCTTGGTTCTTATATACATGCTCCAAGCACGTGTGCTGTTTCATTCAGACGCTGTCTCCCCGACAGACCTGTTCTTCACCTGAGGACGGCTGCCTGCGTTGTGGCCGAAACGTCGTGAGAATTATTTTATTATGTTTATTTTTATTTTATTACTTCCCTTCTACGTGACTTTACCGAAAAAACCAAGAATATGAATCCCTGCAGTCGCGAAAGCTTTAAATCGAAACCAAACGAGATAGTTAACAACCTCGGCCTCAGTGCTTACCACCAAACTTCATTCACCACGCTGGTTTAGTAACGTTAATGACGAGTCAGGGATCGAACCCACGACCTCCTGCACACCAGGCGAGGTAGTCAACATCTCCTAGCCACCGTGATGATGATGATGAGAGAGAGACACGCAAACTCCAAATATACAGCAGCAGGCGTCAGGGTGGGGATCGAACCCACGACCTCCTGCACACCAGGCGAGGTACAAGTCAACAACATCGGCCTCACCGTCCCCCCCCCACCCTCGTCTCATCTCCTCATGTCTCACCAGCCATCGCCACGATGTTGACCTCCTGTTTCACGCCATGCGAGTGCACGGCGTACACACGAGTCGCGTCAAAGTCCTCCTCAGAGCAGGGAGCGAAGCCGATGATGGTGGAGGCGGCCACGATCTGACAGTCCTTGTCTTCCACGAAACGGACGTACGCGAACATCGTTCGGCGTCGGCTTGTTTGCTTGTTGTTGTTGTTTGTAGTTAATCACACGGGTTAACGTTTTGTTGTTGTTGTTGTTGTTTGAGGCGAGGTGGTTGAAGGTTTCGCGGGCCGCGCCGCTGAAGAGTGAACGGAGGGGGGGGGGGGGGCGACAAAATGGCGGGAGAACGACGGGGTGCCGACGTCACTTCCGTTATTAGAAAATTATAACAAAATTATAGCGATTAATGTTGATTTGTTTTTGTTGTTGTTTAAAATACACACGCAGGTTTTATTGCACGCCTCGATTTGTACCTTAAATTGAAGCTTCTGCGATTGTAAAAAAATTTATGTTACGTGGAAATGGAATTTCCGGTTGGTGACTGCCCTCACGCGCGCCGTTTCCGCTAGGTTTGTGCAATTAATTTTTAAAATATATATATTAGCTTTTACCTAGCGACAAATAGTTGTGCTTACTTGAAGAAGTGTATCGCTAAAGATTTTGTCGTCATTTAAAGCGAGAATAATTTTGTACAAACATGGCGCGCCTGGATGGCGACGGACGTGACGTCACATGTGCGTTATTTTATTTTTGTGTAAATTTACGAATATTTTCATTATATTGCTGTATAATTGCACGGATTACGATGTGCGTGTTACTATTATAAGTCAATGTATTCTTTATATATAAAAAAGTTAAAATGTTCTCGTTAAATGAACGGGGGACCACTTGTCAACGTCATTTCCGGCTAGTGTTCGCATTTTATACTTACTGGAATATTTTACAATTATTTATACGTTTACAAAAGTGTATGGATCAAAGATATGAATTACATTGAATTTAATATAATTGTGTATAAAATTATATATTTTTGTTTAATTCCGTGGACGCCGTGCAACGTCACTTCCGATACCACATGCCTGCACCGTAGCGGTCCAGATGTCTTGTGACTCCCCGTTCAATTCTTAATTTTGTTGTTTCAATTAAAGTTTTTTGTTTTACTTAAAACAGAAACGACCATGCGAAAGAACGATTTTTTACGGTTCAATTAATTGGGGGGGGGGGGGGTCACAAGACATCTGGACCACCCTGTGTTACGCTGTTCCATAAGCTCGATTCGGGAGATGTTCCAGGAATGCGTTTAAAATTTTGTAAAAGTTTTATTCGCTTTGCAGTGACTTCTAGCTAAGTTAGGAATATACCTCACAAAGTGGGGCGATTGGTAAAACATCTATATATTGATCGGTTTAACACGTAGCGGTAGTAGTAGGCCTTTCGCCACCAATGTTATCCATATAAATATTGTGTCTTCTTGGTTTTTTCGGTAAAGTCACGTAGAAGGGAAGTAATAAAATAATAAAAATAAAACATAATAAAATAATATAATAATGTTTATTTTATTTTATTACTTCCCTGCAGTCACGAAAGCTTTAAATCGAAATTTAAATATTGTGTCGTTAAACCCGCCACCACCCGACACAGCCGATCAGTAAAGTTGCGTCACAAAAGGGGCCGTCCATAAATGACGTCACGCACCTGGGGGGGGGGGGGGTCAGACATTTGTGACGATGTGTGACGAGGGGGGGGGGTTTGAGAAATGTGACGTCACATCAAAATGCGCAACTTTAAATAAATATAGAATTGTTATAACAACACTCCTACAACATCAGAGTGCAGCGCCACATTAAATACGCACTACAATGACAATAGTTTGTGTTGTTTGTGGCGTGTGGGTGACTCTTGGATCGTTGTTGAAGAAATACGGAGTGCCACCCAGAAGTGCATTTTTTTAATATATAAAACTATCTTCTTGGTTCTTTCGGTAAAGTCACGTAGAAGGGAAATAATAAAATAAAAAAAACATAATACAAAATAATAAAATAATACAAATAAAACATAATACAAAATAATAAAATAATACAAATAAAACATTATACTAAATAATGTTTTCTTTTTATTCTTTTATTATTTCCCTTTTACGTGACTTTACCGAAAGAACCAAGAAGATGAATCCCTGCAGTCACGAAAGCTTTAAATCGAAATATATAAAACTAGCTTTACTACCCATCTTCACCCGGGATTTGGATTCACCACGCCTTTGTCTCCCCAGTGGCGATGTTCACACACTGCACCAGTTAATTGTTTGAGGCTGAGTCGACCTAGGGGAGGCCTAGGACCGGTTCAAATAATCGTCACCGGTGGTGGCCGTGAGCGGGAATCGAACTCGGGTCACCGGGTTCGTAGCGCGGCGCACTACCCACTACACTACAACGCGTTACGCTACCACGTGCGCGGGTCACGTGACAGATGTGACGTCACAGCTCACTTGCCGTGCAAAAAATAGATGCATTATTGAGCTCACCCCCCCCCCCCCCCCCAAAAAAGTGTATTTTAATCATTGTTGCATGGTGTACAATCTGTAAAGTACCCACACGGCAAATTTCAAGTTTGTTGCATGTCGGGAAGTACACTAAACATTTTGAACAGACACACATAATCACAACTTTACCTTTTATTAATTATATATTAAAAATTAAATATTGCCGTTACAAACATGCAATCCACTCGTTCTAGATTTGAAGCTTTCGTGACTGCAAGGATTCATACTCTTAGGTTTTTCGGTAAAGTCACGTAGGTAAAAATAAATTAAAATAAATAAAATTATATAAATAATAATAGAAATAAAATATTATTATAATAGAAATAATAATAGAAAAAAAATCTATTATATTATTGTTATTTTTTATTATTTATTTTTACCTACGTGACTTTACCGAAAAAAACCTAAGAGTATCAACCCACTCTCGTGTTTGTCCCCTCGCTGTAAAGTTGTCCCAAGTCATCGCAACCCGCCGCCGTGATGCGCATTAAACACGCGTGTAGATTTCTTTGCCGGATGCTGATGCTGCTGAGAGACATTCCGATGCGGTGATGATGACCCACTTCGTTGAGATGTCATCTGTGATGACCACTCCGCTTCAGATCTGCAGCGGAGATGTGGAGGAGCTGCGGGGGAGATGTTAACTCCCTCGCCTGGTGTGCAGGAGGTCGTGGTTTCGATCCTGAATCTTGATGCCTGCTGCTGTATATTTGGAGTTTGCGTGTCTCTCTCAATCAGTCTCCCCTCGTCCCCGTGGTCGCGTGGATTTTTCTCCAGGTTCTCCGGGTTTTCCCCTCCCACATTTAGAATCAACGGCACGCGTTTAAAAGTATTTTGTTGCTATAAATTTCCACGCGATAAGCCACTTCGTTGAGCTATCATTTGCGATGACCAGATCGCTTCAGAAACAACACATTCCTGCGGAGGGAGCTGGTAGGAACGTCGGGTTGCTCGGTCAATGGCCTGCAGGGTCAACGGCGGCGTGGTGTATTCCGCAAATATGCCCGACTGTGAGGGCGGGCACAAGCCGGCGTGAGTAGGTTAAACGTTGAGTTTTATAAGGGCACCATGGGGTGACCAGCCCCTTCCCACCCAGCCCCACCCCTCCACCACCCAGCCCCTCCCCACCCAGCCCCACACCTCCCACCCCCCACCCAGCCCCTCCCCACCCAGCCCCTCCCCACCCTCCCCAGCCAGCCCCTCCCCACCCAGCCCCTCCCCACCCTCCCCATCCAGCCCCTCCCCACCCTCCCCACCCCTCCCACCCCAGCCCCTCCCCACCTTCTCCACCCAGCCCCTCCCCACCCTCCCCACCCAGCCCCACCCTCCCCTCCCCACCCAGCCCCACCCCACCCCTCCCACCCAGCCCCACCCTCCCCACCCAGCCCCACCCTCCCCACCCAGCCCCACCCTCCCCACCCAGCCCCTCCCTGCACGACAGACGGATACAATAATCCCCTGTGGGCTGGTGTAACCAGGAGGTTCCTACCAGTATGATGGCACTTTGTGCCACGTGGAAGGAAGCGGTCTTGTAGAAAAAAGGAAACTTTATTTTCCACAAACTCTCTCGCTTGTTAAAGCTTCTCATACCGGTATGAAACATTCACATGGTAGCAGTAGTAATAGCGATATCTTACAATAAAACTACAATGAAAACATCTTTCACCCTCAGTCACAAAAGTCAGTGCCCCAAAGAATTTCACGGCCCGTTGCATTTTTACAAAGGCAAAACTCCACCACCCCCCCCCCCCCCCTTATACGTTTTCGATTTACCAACATTCAGTAATATTTTACACGATTTGCAGCTAATTTGGCAATGTCACTTTGAAATAACACTTGGGCCGCCCTCCCCCCCCCCCCCCTCGTATTCTCTGGCTCGGCTCCGGCGTGGCGAGCGAGCCGGCTCAGAGCGATGCTCAACTTGAGCCGGCTCCTGGATTTCCATGAGCGAGGCCTGAGCCAGGCCACGTGCGTCTTTGGAAGTGACCGAGCGTGAGCCGAGCCTTAACGTTTCAGGGCCGAGCCATGAATAAGAGAGAACACGGCCCTTGAAGTTTGAACTTGGATCAAGATGTCACCGTGTGGCACAAAGCCGTGAGTGACACCAGATAGCAGCAGAAAGGTTGGGAAGAGTCTGTGTGTGGAAGCTCCGTTGGCATATTCCATGAAAAAGTTGAATTCCCAAATTTACAGGTCTATACACCGCATCACAAGGCTTTGTTTCACTCACGGGTTGTCAATACGCCACGAAGCCAGATTTAAATACCTCTCTATTCCGGGAAGACAAACGGGTTGCGTAACAATTGGTTTGTTGAAATTGTACATTATTTCGAAAAGGGGAATAGACTCCGTTTGATGCCCACGTAGCGATTTGCAAACGTCACGTTAAATGCGCGCGAACCAATTCTGACGCGCATGTAACGCGACCACCCGACTCGAATACCACCAACGGAATCATTACACACCTTGGGGAAAGTTTCTTAAAGTCCCACTGCCTTGGTCGACACGGGAGCATGCGTGGCCAAGCCATTTAATTGATTGGCAGGTTGCATGCGGTGGGGCAAAGAATGGGGGTAACTCCCACTGGTTTCCAAAACATCTTGCCGGCGTAGAAGAGTAGGCCAAAGTACACTCTTCCAGAGGATGGCTCTGCCAGGTGGGGGGCCCTTCTGCCCAGCAGTGGTAGGAGCAAGCGTAGAAACTATTGTGTGCTCCGTGAGTTGTAACGGTGTGTACGTTGATGTTTCACCACAGGAACCAGGTACAGCATTGTCAACTGCACGGGATGAAACAGGCGACAAGCCCCAATAATCTTGCGCCGCGAAAAAAAAAACTGAATACCTGCTGGGTTCATCTTTACTTGGAATCATCGGTGACTAAATCTTCTGCAACCACAACGGCTGTTTCCTGGGTTTCCGAATCAGAATTCTGAAAAAACTAAATCTAGCTTGCACGGATATCACCACACAACGCACCTCAAGTCCATTTGTACAAAAAAATATAATATACAGCATCATCTTCATATCCTGTGTAAACAATTGTCCTGTCAATCTTTGTGCTGGTCTACAGTTGGATAAAGTCGAAGGACATATTTTACATTTTATCCGTACAACCAAGTTCTCTAATCTTTAGACAAATCGACAGTGCTTATTATAATTCGCACCAAAGTAGGGTTTTACCTTCGTTAGAGATCATCAGTTTGTAGGGGGGAGGGCGGGCAGCTGTTATGATACCAGTTCTACCAACAACCTTGCCGCCACGTTTACGACGCCAATGATGTCCGAATAAAGATGAAATCAAAACGCAGCTCTCACTCGTACGGCCGCATGGTTACAATTCAATTGTCCAATCGGCTGCTAGCGATGTCTAGGCTTCAAACCCCCCCCCACCGCCCTCCCCTCTGTATTCATGTCGTGAACTCTTAAATATCTTCTCGTGGAATGCATTACCGTATTCTCTGGATTATAAGAGCCTCCTTGAAGGCACCACCAAACAAAGTTGTACCGATGAAGATACAACTAGTCACGTAAGATGTTGGATGCAAAGCCCCCCCCAAAACCAGTTCTCTTTTTAAAATAAAGGGGGTGTAAAAAAGAAAAAACGGCCGTCGAAATCCAGAGAATACGATGTCATTCGGTTTGACCTGCGCACATTTAAATGTTTTGTTGCTTGCTGCAAGCGATCGTTTCGTCTCGTTTTAATCAACGGATGCAGATTTGTTGGGCGAACTGACGGCATCCAAAACCTTTGTGGGGAAGAGAGACGGACTCGGGGCCAGAGGTCGCAAACGGGTTTTGATTCCTTACTCGTACCCGGCCGCACCAGGGTCGTAAACGGGTACCCGTACCTGGCCGGGTACGGGTAGCCGGGTATCGGGTAGGGTACGGGTATCGGGTACCCGATTGCGACCTCTGGGATGAAGCCATGTTGCAGGCGCGGGTGGGTTGATTCTAGGAACTTGAATTGTGAGAAGAGACAAGACGTTGGGAAATGAGTGACAAACGGTGACTCACCAGTGACTCACGGGCCTACCCGTACCCGGCCGCACCAGGGTTGCAAACGGGTACCCGTACCCGGCCGGGTATGGGTAGCCGGGTATCGGGTAGGGTACGGGTATCGGGTACCCGGTTGCAACCTCTGCTCGGGGCTGGTTACGTGCCGCGGCGAGCGAAATTCCTTCCCCCCCCCCCCGCCCCCCCGTCAGCCGTTAACCGTCGGAGGCACGAATCACGGCGTATTTCGGGCGGATGCCAACAACTAAGAGACACTTTCTGTGGTTTCACCATATTAGAAAAGTACAAATAAATCCACCGCGCGTTCAGCGGCTTTCGCGATGCACAACGCCATCAACGACGAACCGTGGCCGTGACAACGCCGACAGCACATTTCACAGTTGTTTCTTTTACCCTCAAACGATTTTAAAGCCTCTTTTTCAGACAGCGAGTGCCGTTGCATTCGCTGGAATGTTTGTGGTGGTGGGTGGGGGGGTGTGCAACTGCACAGGATTTCAGCTCCGTTGCCGTGTAACCCATGGACGCGTTTTTTGCGAGTTGTGCCGCCTGCGTGTTCAATGTTCGGCACAACATCCAGATCTCTGCTCCCGGGAACGCAAGCTCCCGGGGGCGCGCGTCGGGCGAAACGTCGGACAATCGTTCTGAACGACGTGAAAGGAAAACCCGCCGTGATGACATCGCATCCTTGCCTGCTCCTGACATCATCGCCTTCCTCTCTCGCTCTCCGACAAATGGGATCATCGGTGACAAAACGATTACAAAACCTCTCTCTGTCCCGCACAGGAGTTTCACAAAAGTGACTTCGAATACGATTCATCGGCTCAGCTCCAAGGCGCCAGTCCTCTTGAATTCTCACCCCGCTTGTATCTGCCTAGCACCAGCTGGTTCTCCTGAGTTCCCGTCTGGTTAAACAAACACAAATCCCTCCGACACAACGACTACTGAGTGAGGGGTGGGGTGGTGCTGTGAGGCGGTCAGATTGAAATACATCAAGTGGGGGTTCGTTAACGTATCCGTGCGTGCCTCTCAGCGGCGCGTCGTCCCCCTCGTATACAAACGCAGTGTTGGGTTTTATCCGGTACCTTCCCCCTCTGCCCCCCCCCCTTCCCCCCAACGAGAAGCCCAAACTCGTAACCCGTGGGATCTATGGCCAAACATCCCAATGTGGCAAGGCCCTCCTGAAAAAACGAAAATCTTTTGAGGCCCAGTGGACATATCCTGTATATTATCTTGATATTTCGGTGTCGTATCAAAGTAACGGTTTCGTGTCCTTGCGGCACGACTGGGATGATACGCCTGGCATACCGTTTAAGTGATACACTGTTTATACATGTAAAAATATATATATAATACATTTAAATAAAACACAAATCCGCTCACGGAAACTACTGCGACACACAACCCGCACTGAAAATGTGGACGAAAGTAATATTCTTGCACGTTGTTCAACTCCCACAACCGCCACCCCCCCCCCCCCAAAAAAAAAAAAAAATTCTCAGAAAATAAGAATAATTACCACAGGCTCTAAGTCTTCAAACAAAAACGGTGAAAACATCTTTTTATCTTGCAAAACAAAGTGGGCAACGGAGACCATCGTCCAAACTCAAGCTTGACAACCGCTTGGCGTATTTCACGCCCAAAATGATTGAGCACGTAGTTTGTTTTGCTGCCGTGTTCGTTCGCGGGAATCCAATCCGCTCCTTTCGGTTTTCACAAAAGAGCGTTTTTCCCAGCCTCAAGCCGGAGAGAAATCGTGTCCCCGGCTCTCTCTCCAAGTGAAACGCGTCGTCGGACGCGGCGCCACCAAGTGCAACCCTTGGTCGGCTCTCTACCATTGGTCACGGGGCAAGCAGCATCTCTTCGCGGAGAGCGTGCGTCGGCTTGAGCGTGGCGACCCCCTCTCGTATAACCACGGCATGGGCCGCGCGGTTACTCCGACGGATTCTTGTCTTTGCAACCGCGCGTGGCAACGGGCACGCACGCACGTCACCCTCTCAGCCGTGCCGGACAGCCGGCGGCACGTGCGCGTCTCTCCGTCCCGTCGGGGTCGATCGCCGTCAAAATTCACCCACCCGCCCGACTTCCCCAACCCAGTGACGCTGGGGGGTTTTTATAGTTTTTGACTTCAAAGTCAGATCCATCGCCACCCCCTCCTCCTTCCCCCACAGTTACCGGTAGCGCGTGTGGGGGGGTCGCGGGGGGGGGGGGGTGGGTACGAGTAGGGCACCCCGGGATGGTTTAGCTTCGGTCAGGGCAGCGGAGGTCCGTTGACGCCCGGATGGTAAAACCCGCACATGTTCTCGTAGCGGCAGCCGCCCTTCATCATGAAGTGCCTGCACATCGGCCTCTTGGACATGTCTGCGGGGGTGGGCGGGGGAGCAAAGGAGAGAGAGGGGCGAGGCGGAAGTGCGTGCGAGATTAGGACGCGTCCGACGACTGCGCGCGTGCCGGCTGGGGGTCGTGCCGTACGCGGTTGATAGGATATTACACCATTGGAACCTCCTTTGCCAATAGCTAAATATGATCATTGGTTTTTTACCCCATTGGAACCTCATTTGCCAGTAAAAAATATAATTGGCTTTTTACCCTTCTATCTGGCAACAAAACTGACACTTTTTTTACAAGGAGTCATGTTTGCATAGACCACAATACCTGCAGTCATAATGCAAACAAAAAACAATTATCATGGTTTTTTACCCTTTTATCTGGAAACAAAACTGACACCTTTTTTTAGTTTTACAAGGAGTCATGTTTGCATCAGAGTTGTGTTTTTTGTTTGCATTCCGACCGCAGGTATTGTGGTCAATGCAAACATGACTCCTTGTAGAAAAAAGGTGTCAGTTTTGTTGCCAGATAAAAGGGTAAAAAAGCAATTATTATATTTTGCTACTGGCAAAGGAGGTTCCAATGGTGTAAAATGCTTAACCCGAGCTCTCATACTCTGATGGTGCATTGTCTTTGAGTTGTGCGCCTTTTGGCTTCATCTGGTCCAACACCATGTGAGACTAGGCTCTAAGGAAAGCTGTCTCGGGTGTGGACCAATCAATTTTAAGGGCAGTGCATACATTATCAGAGTTGTGTTTTTTTTGCATTCCGACCGCAGGTAAACATGACTCCTTGTAGAAAAAAGGTGTCAGTTCTGTTGCCAGATAAAAGGGTAAAAAACCAATTATCATTATGATAGGATATCGTTCCAAAATAGCGTTATGCGTGTCGAACTTCTTTCGTACCATACGCAGCCAACCGCGTTCATCGGAGGTGCGTTAGCCTCGACTTGGAAGATGTGATGCGTCTTTAGATGCCAATTACAAACATGTCATTGGCATTTTCGATTTAAAGCTTTCGTGACTGCAGGGATTCATCTTCTTGGTTCTTTCGGTAAAGTCACGTAGAAGGAAAATAATAAAAATAAAACATAATAAAGTAATTATTTTATTATGTTTTTATTTTATTATTTTATTATTTTCCTTCTAAGTGACTTTACCGAAAGAACCAAGAAGATATCATTGGCATCTAAATTACTCAGAGCAGTTATAATGGGCCAATTTGCACCTACAATCCACACATTACACTCCAGTATGCCGTCAACTGGATATATAGAGTAGAACCCCTTTAAATGAGCACCCCCTGCTTACGACTAATCGCTTAACGACGGGCCTCCATACAGCCTGATGTGTTCGCTTATCAAACATTCCTCTGTGAACGATGGGCTGTTATGGGTACAGTAAATATTCATCAATGCGTTGATTAGCCACGTTTCTTAAAATAAAATGCGTCGTTGTTAGTATCGTTATGTATTCATATCAATTGTTTAAACATTACAAAGTGCCTTTATTGTGGTTAACTTTCGATGCCCTCGGAACGAATTAAGCCTTGAAACGTGCATTTTCTATACTCACTCAACGACCAAATCGCTTGACGACGGGTTTCGTGGAAGCGATCTCCGTCATTAAGAAGGCTTCCACCTTCGATTTAAAGCTTTCGTGACTGCAGGGATTCATCTTCTTGGTTCTTTCGGTAAAGTCACGTAGAAGGGAAGTAATAAAATAATAAAAATAAAACATAATAAAATACAATTCTCACGACGTTTCGGCCACAACGCAAGCAGCCGTCCTCAGGTGAAGAACAGTGGCTTTATGCTCATTAGACAGCGTCTGTCGGAAATACAGCCTCTGAAGCTGAAGACGCTGTCTTTCCGACAGACGCTGTCTTTCCGACAGACCTGTTCTTCACCTGAGGACGGCTGCTTGCGTTGTTGGCCGAAACGTCGTGAGAATTATTCTATTATGTTTTATTTTTGTTGTTTTATTACTTCCCTTCTACGTGACTTTACCGAAAGAACCAAGAAGAAGGCTTCCAGCGTACGCGTATTTTTTGTCCCCCCCATCGGCCCAGCCGCGTGCCCACCCGCCGCTCACCTCCACCGTTGTTGTGCCCACGTCCACCGCGACCCGTCCTGTACCCGCCTCCTCCCGACCGCCCTCCTCCACCCCCTCCCCCCGACCCTCCCCGTCCCATCCTCCCCCCGCCGCCCCCGCCCCCGGACTGCATGAAGGGCGGACGGCCACCGCCGCCTCTCATCCCCTCATTCCCAGAATCCCAGTAGTCTTCATTGCCCCCTCCACCGTTTCCTCCTCCTCCGCCACCACCGCCGCCGCTGTTGTTGTGATGCTGCTGCTGCTGTTGCTGCTGCTGTTGTTGCTGCTGTTGTTGCTGCTGTTGTTGCTGCTGTTGTTGCTGCTGCTGCGTCTGGGTTGGTGGCGGGGGCATGTTGATGGGAGGTGGGGGGCCCATCATGTGTGTGCCTGGCGGAGGGACCCCCACTGCGGAAGAGAGGCAGAGAGAGAGGGGAGGAGGAGTGCAAAGGACAGTGGGAGTATTAAACGCGAGTCATCAATAGCCTTGAATATGTACGTACGTTGAACTTCTGTCGCACCGTACGTAGCCAATCGTTCTAATCGGAGGTGCAGTGTTGAGTCTATGGGTAGTGTGAGTCTATGGGTAGTGTTGAGTCTATGGGTAGTGTTGAGTCTATGGGTAGTGTTGAGTCTATGGGTAGTGTTGAGTCTATGGGTAGTGTTGAGTCTATGGGTAGTGTTGAGTCTATGGGTAGTGTTGAGTCTATGGGTAGTGTTGAGTCTATGGGTAGTGTTGAGTCTATGGGTAGTGTTGAGTCTATGGGTAGTGTTAGTCTATGGGTAGTGTTGAGTCTATGGGTAGTGTTGAGTCTATGGGTAGTGTTGAGTCTATGGGTAGTGTTGAGTCTATGGGTAGTGTTGAGTCTATGGGTAGTGTTGAGTCTATGGGTAGTGTTGAGTCTATGGGCAGTGTTGAGTCTATGGGTAGTGTTGAGTCTATGGGTAGTGTTGAGTCTATGGGCAGTGTTGAGTCTATGGGTAGTGTTGAGTCTATGGGCAGTGTTGAGTCTATGGGTAGTGTTGAGTCTATGGGTATGTGTGAGTCTATGGGTAGTGTTGAGTCTATGGGTAGTGTTGAGTCTATGGGTAGTGTTGAGTCTATGGGCAGTGTTGAGTCTATGGGTAGCTGTTGAGTCTATGGGTAGTGTTGAGTCTATGGGCAGTGTTGAGTCTATGGGTAGTGTTGAGTCTATGGGCAGTGTTGAGTCTATGGGTAGTGTTGAGTCTATGGGTAGTGTTGAGTCTATGGGCAGTGTTGAGTCTATGGGTAGTGTTGAGTCTATAGGCAGTGTTGAGTCTATGGGTAGTGTTGAGTCTTTGGGTAGTGTTGAGTCTATGGGTAGTGTTGAGTCTATGGGTAGTGTTGAGTCTATAGGCAGTGTTGAGTCTATGGGCAGTGTTGAGTCTATGGGCAGTGTTGAGTCTATGGGTAGTGTTGAGTATATGGGTAGTGTTGAGTCTATGGGTAGTGTTGAGTCTATGGGTAGTGTTGAGTCTATGGGCAGTGTTGAGTCTATGGGCAGTGTTGAGTCTATGGGCAGTGTTGAGTCTATGGGCAGTGTTGAGTCTATGGGCAGTGTTGAGTCTATGGTGCAGTGTTGAGTCTATGGGCAGTGTTGAGTCTATGGGCAGTGCTGAGTCTATGGGTAGTGTTGAGTCTATGGGCAGTGTTGAGTCTGTGGGTAGTGTTGAGTCTATGGGTAGTGTTGAGTCTATGGGTAGTGTTGAGTCTATGGGCAGTGTTGAGTCTATGGGCAGTGTTGAGTCTATGGGCAGTGTTGAGTCTGTGGGCAGTGTTGAGTCTGTGGGTAGTGTTGAGTCTATGGGTTGTGTTGAGTCTATGGGTTGTGTTGAGTCTATGGGTTGTGTTGAGTCTATGGGTAGTGTTGAGTCTATGGGTAGTGTTGAGTCTATGGGCAGTGTTGAGTCTATGGGCAGTGTTGAGTCTATGGGCAGTGTTGAGTCTATGGGTAGTGTTGAGTCTATGGGCAGTGTTGAATCTATGGGTAGTGTTGAGTCTATGGGCAGTGTTGAGTCTATGGGTAGTGCTGAGTCTATGGGCAGTGCTGAGTCTATGGGCAGTGCTGAGTCTATGGGCAGTGTTGAGTCTATGGGTAGTGCTGAGTCTATGGGCAGTGTTGAGTCTATGAGTAGTGTTGAGTCTATGGGCAGTGTTGAGTCTATGGGCAGTGTTGAGTCTATGGGCAGTGTTGAGTCTATGGGGAGTGTTGAGTCTATGGGCGGTGTTGAGTCTATGAGTAGTGTTGAGTCTATGGGCAGTGTTGAGTCTATGGGCAGTGTTGAGTCTATGGACAGTGTTGAGTCTTTGGGCAGTGTTGAGTATGGGTAGTGTTGAGTCTATGGACAGTGTTGAGTCTATGGACAGTGTTGAGTCTTTGGGCAGTGTTGAGTCTATGGGCAGTGTTGAGTGTATGGGCAGTGTTGAGTCTATGGGTAGTGTTGAGTCTATGAGCAGTGTTGAGTCTATGGGTAGTGTTGAGTCTATGGGTAGTGTTGAGTCTATGGGCAGTGTTGAGTCTATGGGCAGTGTTGAGTCTATGGGCAGTGTTGAGTCTATGGGTTGTGTTGAGTCTATGGGTAGTATTGAGTCTATGGGTAGTGTTGAGTCTATGGGCAGTGTTGAGTCTATGGGCAGTGTTGAGTCTATGGGCAGGATGTATGTTGAATTTCTTTCATACCGTACGTAGACAATTGTGTTCATTGGGAGGTGCGAGTCAAGGCGCTCTATAAATATTATACGAGATAAGATAACAAGATGATGGTGATGATTGCGATGGTGGCGATGATGGCGATGATGATGTTCTCGGACTCACCTGGGAATGGCGGTCGCACTCCGGGCTGGAATCCCATCCCATTGGCCATCCCCATGGGGAACTGCATCCCGTTGTGGTGCATCATGGGAGGGCCGCCCTGCATCGGCACCGGGCCTGCACACGCACAGCATCGTGGGTAAGAGACGTGAGAATCTGCAGGATCTCAAGCAGTGGTGTGCTTCTGGAGAAAACATATCAACGTGCGTTGAAGAGTATTTTGCTGCTATAAATGCCCACGTGATAAGCCACTTCGTCGAACCTTCATTTGCATGTACGTATATCGAAATTCTCTCGCGCCGTACGTGGCCAACCGTGCTAATCGGAGGTGCGGCGGGGGAAGGACAACGCAAATTAAATGACAAAAAGCAGTTCTAAAGAATTTTTCGATTGAAAGCTTTCGTGACTGCAGGGATTCATCTTCTTGGTTCTTTCGGTAAAGTCACGTGACCAAGAAGAGTTCTAAAGAAATTAAGTTTATTTGCGATATCCATGTCGCTTCTGAAAAAGAACTACGTAGCTCAGTGGGGCCCTTACGTGGCAAAATACAAAATACTTTCAAGTCATTTAGCGGGAGAGACGGTATCGTCGCCAACGCGGGGGGGACGACGACGCTCACCGGGGGGTGGCGGCAGCTGGTTCTGCAGCGGTGCCAGCATTTGCTTGATTTTCTCCGTGAACTCCGGCTGCTTCAGGAGCTCCTCGGACAGCTGCTGGTGCTGCTGGTTCCCCTGCGGGGACACGGAACGGCGTTCCACGGCGTTACTCGGCGCGAGCGTCAACTCCAGGTGGCGTCGTGGTGGCTAGGAGATGTTGACTACCTCGCCTGGTGTACACAGGAGGTCGTGGGTTTCATCCCGACCCTGACGATGCCAGCTGCTGTGTATTTGGAGTTTGCGTGTCTCTCTCTCTCATCATCATCACGGTGGCGAGGAGATGTTGACTACCTCGCCTGGTGTACAGGAGGTCGTGGGTTTGATCCCGACCCTGACGATGCCTGCTGCTGTGTATTTGGAGTTTGCGTGTCTCTCTCTCTCATCATCATCACGGTGGCTAGGATATGTTAACTACCTCGCCTCGTGTACAGGAGGTCGTGGGTTTGATCCCGACCCTGACGCCTGCTGCTGTATATTTGGAGTTTGCGTGTCTCTCTCTCTCATCATCATCACGGTGGCTAGGAGATGTTAACTACCTCGCCTGGTGTGCAGGAGGTCGTGGGTTCGATCCCGACCCTGACGCCTGCTGCTGTATATTTGGAGTTTGCGTGTCTCTCTCTCTCATCATCATCACGGTGGCTAGGAGATGTTGACTACCTCGCCTGGTGTACAGGAGGTCGTGGGTTCGATCCCGACCCTGACGCCTGCTGCTGTATATTTGGAGTTTGCGTGTCTCTCTCTCTCATCATCATCACGGTGGCTAGGAGATGTTGACTACCTCGCCTGGTGTACAGGAGGTCGTGGGTTCGATCCCGACCCTGACGCCTGCTGCTGTATATTTGGAGTTTGCGTGTCTCTCTCTCTCATCATCATCACGGTGGCTAGGAGATGTTGACTACCTCGCCTGGTGTACAGGAGGTCGTGGGTTCGATCCCGACCCTGACGCCTGCTGCTGTATATTTGGAGTTTGCGTGTCTCTCTCTCTCATCATCATCACGGTGGCTAGGAGATGTTAACTACCTCGCCTGGTGTGCAGGAGGTCGTGGGTTCGATCCCGACCCTGACGCCTGCTGCTGTATATTTGGAGTTTGCGTGTCTCTCTATCTCATCATCATCACGGTGGCTAGGAGATGTTAACTACCTCGCCTGGTGTACAGGAGGTCGTGGGTTCGATCCCGACCCTGACGCCTGCTGCTGTGTATTTGGAGTTTGCGTGTCTCTCTCTCTCATCATTAGTGTTTATAATGCAACTAGTATCTTTATATATTAATATCCATTGTTTATTGGGTGAAAAAGGGGGTGACTTTCGATGCCATCGGAATAACTTAGGCCTTCAAAGTGCATTTCCTAGTCTCTCTTAACGACCAACTCGCTTAACGACCAACTCGCTTAACGGCCAAATCGCTTAACGGCCAAATCGCTTAACGACCGGTTTCGTGGAACCAATAACCGTTGTTAAGACAACTTCCTCACCGGTTTCCTCGTTTCATCTCCGCGTCCACCCGTGGTGTGCTCGCGCGCGCCCCCAACCCCCGCCCCGCCCCACCCCCTGCCCCGCTCACCATGAGAGACGATAGCAGCTCCTGCACGCCCTTGAGCGCCACGTCTGCCGCCATCCCCGGCGGCGGCACCCCCATGGGCGGCGGCATCGCCATCCCGGGCGGCATCATCGGGGGGGGCGGCACCATGGGGGGTGGCGGCAGTGGCGCCATGGGGGGCGGCAACATGGCCGGCCCCGCCGGGACCCCGGCCTTCGCCGCCATGCCGCTGACCAGGTTGGCGAGGACGGGCGGCAGTTTGGGGGGCGCCCCCCCTACGCCGAGACCGCCGGGAGACCCCCCCCCTCCGAGGGCGACGATGCCGCCGTCCAGGCCCATGAGGTTGGCGAGGATGGGGGGCAGGCCGGAGACGGAGCCGTCGAGCGCAAGCTGCTGCTGCTGCGGAGGGGCGGGAGTGGCGCCGGCGGGAAGCTGCGCGTCGGGCGTTGCCGAGGTCTCCAGAGCGGACGCCTTCAGAGGAAGGGGGGAGGGATGGAAAGAGCGTCATCGATGGCAGCGTTCTTCACACATTTTCAGATGGGAGGGGGCCACTTTCGCTGATGAGACATCATCAGTGTGAAGGCCGCCCACGTCATTCTAAGCCATTGGGGGCTTGACAGCAGCACGATGGATGATGATGGGGGGTGAGGTATTTGGTCGGGGGTGCTGCACGTCAGGGACCGCACTAAAGGCCGCCACAGGGGGGGGGGGGGCCGAGAGAGCGGGGGGGAGGGGGAGTGAATTGTCAAGAATCGGTGTGCAGTATAGGGGGGGTCACAAGTCAATTTGTTTGTTGTTTTGGTGTCGTCTGTATCCAGAATCAGAATCCTAATATAGACTCGAGGGAGAATCCGATGAAGCCACGATGCTATTTTTCACCGAAGTCCAGCAAGGGGCACGGTGGTCACACTGTTACATTGGCACCGTCTCCTCCGTCTCGTTTGGTATCGTGTCTCCCCTAGAGGGCCGTCGTCATCGTCGAGCAGTCTCTGTCGGGCACCGGGCGACGCCGCTCGCCACTGCACTCACGTCCTCCAGAGGGATGAGCTTGGGCTGTCGGCCTTCGTACGGCTCGGGGTCCGGCTCGTGAGGGTTGTCCGGCACGCTGTCCACACACACGAACACGCGCACACACGAACACGCGCACACACGCACACGCGCACACACACGAACACACACACACGAACACACACACACGAACACACACACACGAACACACACGCACACACACGCACACACACACACGAACACGCGCACAGTGATTACTACACGGGTCCCTTGAGTCAAAGTTCCAGGGTGGTCGTGGTAGTGATGGCGAGGGTGGTGGTGGTGGTGGCGAGGGTGGTGGTGGTGGCGAGGGTGGTGGTGGTGGCGAGGGTGGTGGTGGTGGCGAGGGTGGTGGTGGTGGCGAGGGTGGTGGTGGTGGTGGCGAGGGTGGTGGTGGTGGTGGTGGCGAGGGTGGTGGTGGTGGCGAGGGTGGTGGTGGCGAGGGCGGTGGTGGCGAGGGCGGTGGTGGCGAGGGCGGTGGTGGCGAGGGCGGTGGTGGCGAGGGCGGTGGTGGCGAGGGCGGTGGTGGCGAGGGCGGTGGTGGCGGCGAGGGCGGTGGTGGCGAGGGTGGTGGTGGCGAGGGTGGTGGTGGTGGCGAGGGTGGCGAGGGTGGCGGTGGTGGGCGAGGGTGGTGGTGGCGAGGGTGGTAGTGGTGGCGAGGGTGGTAGTGGTGGCGAGGGTGGTGGTGGCGAGGGTGGTGGTGGTGGCGAGGGCGGTGGGTGGCGAGGGCGGTGGTGGCGAGGGCGGTGGTGCGAGGGCGGTGGTGACGAGGGCGGTGGTGGCGAGGGCGGTGGTGGCGAGGGTGGTGGTGAGTGCGAGGGTGGTGGTGGTGGCGAGGGTGGTGGTGGTGGTGAGTGCGAGGGTGGTGGTGGTGAGTGCGAGGGTGGTGGTGGTGAGTGCGAGAGTGGTGGTGGCGAGGATGGTGGTGGCGAGGGTGGTGAGGGCGAGGGTGGTGGTGGCGAGGTTGGTGGTGGTGGCGAGGGTGGTGGTGGTGGCGAGGGTGGTGGTGGTGAGTGTGAGGGTGGTGGTGGCGAGGGTGGTGGTGGTGGCGAGGGTGGTGGTGGTGAGTGCGAGGGTGGTGGTGGCGAGGGTGGTGGTGGTGGCGAGGGTGGTGGTGGTGGTGAGTGCGAGGGTGGTGGTGGCGAGGGTGGTGAGTGCGAGGGTGGTGGTGGTGGCGAGGGTGGTGGTGGTGGTGAGTGCGATGGTGGTGGTGGCGAGGGTGGTGGTGGTGAGTGCGATGGTGGTGGTGGCGAGGGTGGTGGTGGCGAGGGTGGTGGTGGGTGGTGGTGGCGAGGGTGGTGGTGGTGGTGGCGAGGGTGGTGGTGGTGGCGAGGGTGGTGGTGGTGGCGAGGGTGGCGAGGGTGGTGGTGGTGGTGAGTGCGAGGGTGGTGGTGGTGGCGAGGGTGGTGGTGGTGGTGAGTGCGAGGTAAACTCACCTGTCTTTGGTGAGGAAGAGCTCTTGCAGGACGCTCATCTCGCGCTCCTGCTGAACGCGCTTCTCCAAGCTGCCCGTGCCAAACTCCGCCAAGACCACGTCCAGCAGACGCGGACGCACCCACTGTGACCACAGCGTCCACGCTCGTCAATAACCACCAACAACAACAACAACCACCACGCTCAACCACTGACCAGTCTATGGGCAGTGCTGAGTCTATGGGTAGTGTTGAGTCTATGGGTAGTGTTGAGTCTATGGGCAGTGTTGAGTCTATGGGCAGTGTTGAGTCTATGGGCAGTGTTGAGTCTATGGGCAGTGTTGAGTCTATGGGTAGTGTTGAGTCTATGGAGTCTATGGGCAGTGTTGAGTCTATGGGCAGTGTTGAGTCTATGGGCAGTGTTGAGTCTATGGGCAGTGTTGAGTCTATGGGCAGTGTTGAGTCTATGGGCAGTGTTGAGTCTATGGGCAGTGTTTGAGTCTATGGGCAGTGTTGAGTCTATGGGCAGTGTTGGAGTCTATGGGCAGTGTTGAGTCTATGGGCAGTGTTGAGTCTATGGGCAGTGTTGAGTCTATGGGCAGTGTTGAGTCTATGGGCAGTGTTGAGTCTATGGGCAGTGTTGAGTCTATGGGCAGTGTTGAGTCTATGGGCAGTGTTGAGTCTATGGGCAGTGTTGAGTCTATGGGCAGTGTTGAGTCTATGGGCAGTGTTGAGTCTATGGGCAGTGTTGAGTCTATGGGCAGTGTTGAGTCTATGGGCAGTGTTGAGTCTATGGGCAGTGTTGAGTCTATGGGCAGTGTTGAGTCCTATGGGCAGTGTTGAGTCTATGGGCAGTGTTGAGTCTATGGGCAGTGTTGAGTCTATGGGCAGTGTTGAGTCTATGGGCAGTGTTGAGTCTATGGGCAGTGTTGAGTCTCTGGGCAGTGTTGAGTCTATGGGCAGTGTTGAGTCTATGGGCAGTGTTGAGTCTATGGGCAGTGTTGAGTCTATGGGCAGTGTTGAGTCTATGGGCAGTGTTGAGTCTATGGGCAGGTTGAGTCTATGGGCAGTGTTGAGTCTATGGGCAGGTGAGTCTATGGGGCAGTGTTGAGTCTATAGGGCAGTGTTGAGTCTATGGGCAGTGTGAGTTATGGGCAGGTTGAGTCTATGGGCAGTGTTGCGTCTATGGGCAGTGTGAGTCTATGGGCAGTGTTGAGTCTATGGGCAGTGTGGAGTCTATGGGCCAGTTGGGAGTCTATGCGGCAGTGTTGAGTCTATGGGCAGTGTGGAGTCTATGGGCAGTGTTGAGTCTATGGGTAGTGTTGAGTCTCTGGGCAGTGTTGAGTCTATGGCAGTGGAGTCTATGGGCAGTATGGTCTATGGTAGTGTTGAGTCTATGGGCAGTGTGAGTCTATGGCAGTGTGGAGTCTATGGGCAGTGTTGAGTCTATGGGTAGTGTGAGTCTCTGGGCAGTGTTGAGTCTATGGGCACAGGTGTGAGGTCTATGGGCAGTGTTGAGTCTATGGGCAGTGTTGAGTCTATGGGCAGTGTGGAGTCTATGGGCAGTGTTGAGTCTATGGGCAGTGTGTATGTTGAACTTCTTTTGCACCGTACGTAGCCAACCGTGCTAATCGGAGCTGCGTGTCATTGCGCGTGCGTGTGACTCCCACGTGCCCCTCCCCATTGCTCACCGGAGTCTTCTCCTCCATGGAGTCGTGGCTGAGTTTTCGCGACGTCTCAAATGCTCTCCTGTCCATCATCATCTCCCGCTTGGCCGCCTCCCCAAAGTCCTTCACCTTGTTCACGTTCACTGCGAGTCACAGCGGGGCCGACACGCAACGCGCGGGGTTATCATCGTCGTCGTCATCATCGTCGTCATCATCATCGTCCATCGTCATCGTCGTCATCATCGTCATCATCGGTCATCACCGTCGTCATCACCGTCGTCATCACCGTCGTCATCACCGTCGTCATCATCCGTCGTCATAATCGTCAACACCGTCATCACCGTCATCGCCGTCATAATCGTCATCACGTCATCGCCATCGTCGTCGTCACCATCATCAGTCAACAACATCCACGTCATCGGTGCAACGTTGTCGTAATCGTCATCTTCATCGCTGCCATCGTGGTTGGTGGAAGAACCATCGTCTCTATCGCCAGACGTCTTCGTAACTAACAGTTGTCCTCGCCATCGCTGTCATCGTCAACGTTGGGGGAGGGGGAATCTGCGTGCGTGCGTGCACGTGTGTGCGTGCGTGCGTGCGCACAACAACGAGCGGAGCGCCGGGTGGCTAAAGCACAGCAAGTTGGTACAGTAGGGGGCACAGGTGGTGCATCAGCCAGTCATCTCGGTCATCTCGGTCAGTCGACCCGTGGCTCCTGCTGGGTCTGCCCCGTGACCTGCCAGCGGGCGTTCGACACTTCACGTGGTAGCCTCAAAGTGCACATGGCCTGGCACAAGCGTCGTGGTGACGTCACCGCCACTTAGTGGCGAATGGCGGTTGTTGTTGTGCGTGTGCGTGCGTGCGTGTTGTACCTCTCTCCATCTCGTCCAGCTCAAAGTAGTAGACTTCCCGGAGCCTCGTGTCTTCGGGCCACCACACCGTCTTGCGCTTCTTGCCCTTTTTCGTCCGGTCGACGAGCGGCACCGCAGCCGCCGCCGCCGCCACCACCACCGGATCGGCCGCCGGAGCCTCCGGCGCCGGCTCCGTGCCTTCGGGCTGCGGCTCTGCGGCGGTGGAGAGGAGGAGGAGGGAAGAGGGAAAAATGGGGGAAAACAATTATCACGTGGCCGAATCAGATTTTTTGAAAACGCGCAAACAATGCGCTCGCCACAAATGGACCGCACGATGACCACGCTGATCTCGTTCAGGAGCATAAAGCATCGTCACGCAAACGCCGGTCATCGTAGCGGCGGCAGCGTGCGGCGTTTGGATAACCGTCGAACAAAGACGGCGGTCACCGCGTCGCGCGCTTTCAGATGCGCTTCTGCGGCCGTCTGGAACGCTCTTCCTTCCGATATTACGAATCCACTGGGTGCTAAGATGCACTTTTAAATCATCGTCGTCTAGCACGACAAACTCGTTTCTTAAGAACTGCTTTCTGTGTTTAGTTTGTTGTCCTTCCCCACGCACCTACGATTAGCGCGGTTGGCTAAATACGATTCGAAGGCATTTCAACATACACACGCTACATTCTCCAACATTTTATTGCCGGTGTTAGTATTTGCCGTTATCACGTTTTCTCAGCAACGACCGAGGAACGTCTCGAATATAGAGAGGCTAACCGCTGCATTCTCTAATGGGGAATGCCTTTCATTAAGAGATTATTATTACTATTATTATAGTTTACCCAGAAATACCTCGCCGAGTCTCAAGGCTCTTGTTCGGGAGGGTCCTGCCAGGTTTCCACAGTCGGAGGCGATGCGATCCCAAAGGGGTAATATAGAGGTAAATCTCCTTGGTTCTTTCGGTAAAGTCACGAAGAAGGGAAGTAATAAAATAATAAAAATAAAACTTAATAAAATAATTCTCACGACGTTTCGGCCACAACGCAAGCAGCCGTTCTCAGGTGAAGAACAGGTCTGTCGGGGAGACAGCGTCAGACCTGTTCTTCACCTGAGGACGGCTGCTTGCGTTGTGGCCGAAACGTCGTGAGAATTATTTTATTATGTTTTATTTTTATTATTTTATTACTTCCCTTCTACGTGACTTTACCGAAAGAACCAAGAAGATGAATCCCTGCAGTCACGAAAGCTTTAAATCGAAATAGAGGTAAATCTTTTTGTTGTCCGCACTGCCAAAGTGTTTAGCCAATACCGACGGTTGCATTGCGTCCAGGAGGAACCCCACGCAAGAATTAGATGATTGTGGTGGGGGGGGGGAAGAGGAAACTCGGGGAAGGCGTTGCACCAACCGGGTAATGTACCCATGATCCTTCTCGCTGTGAGGCACGGAGCGGCCGTCACGACAATTATCGCCACCACCCCCCGCCACCTCCCTTGCCCCCCCCCACTTGCCTCCCTTGCCTCCCCGCATCCCCCGGCCGCGACAAGACGGACGCGTTTAACGCCATCGACCCAATCGCTCGCCCTTACCAAAGTCCATCGGCTCCCCGTCCGTCTCTGCTTGCGTGGGCACCGCAGCAGCAGCAGCAGCAGCCGGAGCCGCCGCCGCCGCCACCGCCGGCGCGGTGACGACGCCGTTAGCCTCGGCGGCTGCGGCACCGCCGGTGGCTCCCGATTCGCCCTCCGACCCCGCAGCGGCGGTGGTGCCGGACGCCCCCGAAGTTGGCGAGGCCGGGTTGGAGGGCACGTCGGACTTTCCGCAGGCGTCCAGCGGGTTGGACTTGGCGCTGGTGGGCGAGGAGCTCTTCCGCTTCTTCTTGATCTTCACGCCGAGCACCGGAGCCGAGTTCAGGGCCTCCATGAAGCCCAGGCTCTCGATGGCTGCCGATTCACAAATGTCACCAGTCACGCCTGTTGTTGTTGTTATTGTTATTGTTCGGCTAGTATGCATGCGTGTGTGTATGTACGTACGTATGCGTGCTGAACTTCTTTCGCTCTACTAATAGGGTTTTTCCCCTTTTTTCTGGCAATAAAACTGACACCTTTTGCAAGGAATTATGCTTACATTAACCACAATACCTGCAGTCAAATGCAAACAAAAAACAATACTCTGATAATTTATGCGTTGTCTTTGAAACTGATTGGTCCACACCAGAGACAGCTTTCTTTAGAGCCTAGTCTCATATGGTGTTCGACAAGATGACGCCAAAAGTTTACCCAGGAGAGCCTCAAAGAGTCTCAAGACTCTTAGGAGGGTCCTGCCAAGTGTTAACAGTCCCCCAGTTGATCTCCTGTCGCGTGTCCCGTGTGTGCATGACAGCGGTGTGGAGACTCACGTTGTGCGGGGATGATCTTCACTTTGATCTCCTTGTTGCTGTTGGGGTTCATGTTCAGGGGTTTGTATTTCTTCTCTGGGGGTCCCGAGCCAATGCTCACGGGGCTACACGCACACACACACACGCGTGTACAGGCGTGATTTATACAGCCGCCCAAACATTCAACGTCACTCACTCACTCAACTCTTAAACCCCTTCACTCAGCCACCCACCCCTTCACTCGCCCTCCCATTCCTCCACTCACCCGCCCACCCACCCCTTCACTCGCCCATCCACTCTTTCACCCAAACACCCACCCCCCACCCACCCACCCCTTCACTCACCCTCCCATTCCTCCACTCACTCACCCACCCACCCCTTCACTCGCCCACCCACCCCTTCACTCGCCCATCCATTCCTTCACCCGCCCACCCAGCCCTTCACTCGCCCATCCACTCCTTCACCCAAACACCCACCCCCCACCCACCCACCCCTTCACTCACCCTCCCATTCCTCCACTCACTCACCCACCCACCCCTTCACTCACTCACCCACCCCTTCACTCACCCACCACCCCTTCACTCACCCACCCACCCCTTCACTCGCCCATCCATTCCTTCACGCGCCCACCCACCCCTTCACTCGCCCATCCACTCCTTCACCCAAACACCCACCCCACCCACCCACCCACCCCTTCACTCGCCCACCCACCCCTTCACTCGCCCTCCCACCCACCCCTTCACTCGCCCTCCCATTCCTTCACTCGCCCTCCCATTCCTTCACTCCCCCACCCACCCCTTCACTCGCCCATCCACTCCTTCACCAAACACCCACCCCACCCACGCTCCCTCCCTCCGTCCCTCCGGCTTCACCTCTGCCGCTTGATCGTGATGCTCGGCAGGACCTTGGCGGGGGTCGGCTGCTTCTCCGCGACGGGCACCGCCGCCGTCTTCTTGATCTGGGACGGGAGTGGAGCCTCCTCCTCGAGGCCTGGAGCACGACAACACGCGGAGGCGGCGTCCGCCACGTTAGCACCGCCGGGCTGGAGCGAGCGCTCGCGCGTGTACGCACTCGTGTTGCGGGCTGAGGGTGCGCGTGTCTCAAGGTGTGCGAGTGCATCTGTGTACGTGTGTGTACGTGTGTGCGTACGTGCGTGCGTACATGCGTGTGTGTGTACGCGTGTGTGTGTGTACGCGTGTGTGTGTATGCATGTGTGTGTATGTGCGTGTGTACGCGTGTGTACGTGCGTGTGTGTGTACGTGCGTGCGTGTGTGTGTGCACGCGTGTGTGTGTACCGTGCGCGTGTGTATCGGTGTGCCTTACCGGTGGAACGGAATCGAGCGTGTGTACGTGTGTGTGTGTGTGTACGTACGTGCGTGTGTACGCGTACTGCGCGCGTGCCTTACCGGTGGAACGGAAGCGAGCGTGTGTACGTGTGTGTACGTGCGTGTGTGCGTGTGTGTACGTGCGTGTGTGTGTACCGCGCGCGTGCCTTACCGGTGGAACGGAAGCGAGCGTGTGACGGTGCGACCGTGCGCGCTGATTTCGGCTTCTCCCGCCGTTCCAGCTGCACGATGCCGCGCGGCTCCGCAGTCTTCTTCTCCACCACGGGACTGCCGCTGCTGCCGCCGCCGCTACTGCTGCTGCCGCCGCTGCTGCTACTGCTGCTGGCGTTGCTGGTGGTGCTGCCGGCACTGCTGCTGGCGCCGCTGCCGGCATTGCCGACGACGTTGCCGGGGGCGACGCCGGCGGCACCGGCGACGACGCCGGTTGGCACCGTTGCGGCAACGCCGTCTTCTTTCCTCCTCTTCTTCTCCGGCCTTTCTGCTACGGGCACAGATCGCCAAAACACACCGCCGTCATCACGGTCCACGGGTGCGGAGAGCACGCAGCAGTCGCAGGTGTCCCACTGCACATTTAGCCATCTTTTTCCCCACTTTCCTCTCTGTCTTGTAGCAGAGGTCGCAAACGGGTTTTGATTCCTTACCCGTACCCGTACCCGGCCGCACCAGGGTCGCAAACGGGTACCCGTACCCTTACCCGGCCGTACCCGTACCCGTAGGGTACGCACAGCTGCCGCCCTCGTCAGATGCCGCGTGTGTGCGTGTCCTTACCTGGCACGGGAGCGTTGGCCGCGCTCTGCGAGCGGATCACAGTCATCCAGCCGTTCACCAGCGACGTCGCCACCTCTCTCAGCTCTAAGAACGACACGCACGGCGCACGCACGACGTGTTACAACGTAGCCATCGCACGCGCCGGTGGGGGAGGGGGGTGGACAAGCTCGCTCTCTGTAGGGAGTTGCTTTCTCATCATGGGACTTCCCTTGCCAGTATCAAAATATAAGAATAAGTTTTACATTTTCTGGGTGTTAAAGCACCAAACAGACACTTTCACAAGTAATCATGGACAGTAAAACCTTGCGTTGCGAGCATAATTCGTTCCGGAAACGTGTTTGCAATCCAAAGCACTCGTATATCAAAACACTCGTCGTGTATCAGTTGTGATCACGTGACACTCGGCAGACAAAGCGTATGCACGTACTACTCGTATTGCAAGGCCTCGCTCGTTTATCAAATAAATATTTAGTTAAAACTTTTGCTCGTCTTGCAAAACACTCGCAGACCAAGTTACTCGCAATCCAAGCTTTTACTGTTTGCATTAACCACTCATATACTTCAGTTATAGCCAAACGAATCATGCTTTCGAGCGACTCTGGAGCTTGGCTCTGCGCCTCTGAGTTGCGGCCACTACGTCTGCAAATTTGCACGCGTTACAAATTGAACTATTATTATTATTATTTAGTTTTGTCCCTTGGTTTTTGTTTAGAACCCCGAGAGAGCTGCGCTGAACCAAATCAAACCGACGAAAACCATTCACCCAATTTTTTTGTGCGGCCTCATTGGCGGCGGTGTGGAAAACGTCGCAACGACGAGCATCAGGAACCCGGCCTAATCGCGCGCGCGGCTTAATCCTGGAGTCGAACCTGGGCTTTCAGAGGCGCCAGGCTCGCCGCCCTAACAAGGCACCCCCACAAGGCAGGGGACGCAAGGGCGCACCGTCACACGCCTCTCGTTAAGACGAGAGGAGAGGCCTTTCCGGGGGCACGGGGGGCCCCTACCGATGCACGACTCTGCTCACCTTCGCTGTCGGCAAACTTGCTCAGCTGTTTCACCATCTTGGCCGTGTTGTTCTGCAGGTGGGGGTGAGGAAAAAAATAATAAAATACGATGAGTAATAATCGTCATACGTACGCGCAACGTAGATTCTTCCGACGCGGGTTTTGTTGCTGGGGAGCGTACGACCGCCGACCGCGACGTCGTATTATTTTCAGGGCGTTTCAATATTTTTTTACACTTCTGAGAATTTGCAACAATACGATGAGAAAATTTCGATTTAAAGCTTTCGTGACTGCAGGGATTCATCTTCTTGGTTCTTTCGGTAAAGTCACGTAGAAGGGAAGTAATAAAATAATAAAAATAAAACACAATAAAATAATTCTCACTGTTCTTTCGGTAAAGTCACATTCTTCCTATTATGTTTTATTTTTATTATTTTATTACTTCCGGGCTCTGGAGACCACATGGAGAAGATTCCACGCATGCGTTGACAATGATGGTGAACAAGCTGTAGAACCATTTGACTTTGTGAAGCTATTAACATACATCTGTTATCATGTCATAGTGCATTATTCTTTTGCCATTAAAAACGATAGTCCCATGTAAGCGCTAACATTTTTTCTAAGCACCCTGTGTATCTATTCCAGCCACGCGATCTCGTCGCGCGTAGTGACGGCGTCGGAGGAGGCCTCGTTAGACGTTAAGTCGAATGCTCTCACCGTGTCTACAACGTCCCGATCGTAAACACGCCCCGTTTTGCGCCCGGCTCAAAATTCCCAAAAAAGACGGGGAAACACTCGCCCCGGGCAGTCTGTGGATAACTCGGTGAGCTCCATGCTCCCGCGATAACGCGGCGGTGACACGGACATGGGGCGGGGGGAGCGAGCGAGGTTCACCTGCTTGAGGTGGTGAACGGAGAGCGGAAGCCTCTTGAGCGTGACTAGGATTTGCAGCATGAGCGCGATGTTGTTGGAGTTCTTGGCTTGTCCCAGCCACGAGTTGAGCAGCTTGTAGCCGCCCATGCCGATGAACCTGCGCGGGTGGTGGTGGTGGCGGAGGACACGAAGATAAAGATCACCCATGTAACCTGAACAGACTGTTGGGGCAAGTGCTGTTTTAGCGAACGCCTATCAAGGCCAGTACGGCACACGAGGCGGTGGGCGGCCAGCACCACGCCCCACCGCCTTTGTCTCTCCAGTGGCGATGTTTACACACCGCACCAGGTACTCATTTGAGGCCGAGTCGACCTAGGGGAGGCCCAGGACCGGCACAGATAATCGTCACCGGTGTTGGCCGCGAGCGGGAATCGAACTCGGGTCGCCGGATTTGTAGCGCAGTGTCGATATTTCACGCACACAATAAATATCAGGCCGAGCGAACCGCGGGGATGCCCAGGACAGGTCCAGATATCAGGGAAAGTCACTCGCTACCCAAAGTGGGCCCTAAGTGTGGCCGTGCGGGAAGGGCTCTGCGAGCGTGACCGCCTAAACGTGGCCGACACACACGGAAGGCCCGGCTGTGGGCAGTGACACGAGACTGGAGCTACAGATCGACCCGGGCATTTGTAAACACAACGGCCGCCGCATGCATAATCAATAATTTTTTTGGGTTTTTTCGGTAAAGCTGTATCAACAGATACAGCTATCGTGCTGTGACGGTTCCACCTGAAGACGGAGGCTTGTGTTGCCTCCGAAACGTCGTGATTTTTATTTTATTTTTATTACAGCTTTCGTGACTGCAGGGATTCATCTTCTTGGTTCTTTCGGTAAAGTCACGTAGAAGGGAAATAATAAAATAATAAAAATAAAACACAATAAAATTATATAATAATATTATAAAATAATATAATATTATATTATTTTCTTTCTTTTATTATTTCCCTTCTACGTGACTTTACCGAAAGAACCAAGAAGATATATATTTTTTAATAGAAATAAATGGTAGCTGTGCGGAAAACTGTGTAGTACTCGTAGCTAGACGTTGCGATGTGACGACGGAGACGAGTTAGCGTGGACTTTGCCGTGCGATCTCTCTTCGGGCTCATTTTGGGGCTGCGTCCGATGACGCGAATGGGGGCAACAACGGCGAGGGAGAATCTTCGTGTTGCTGCCGAATATACGGGGGCGGGGGGGGGGGGGGTTTAATGCCCAACTTGAGCTATGAAGTGTACGCGTTAGAGGTGATAAAAAAATGTTTTTATTTAAACTGATCACATTTACAATCTCCCTACACAGGCCCCATCGACCCTCGCAATGTCACGGCCTCACCAGGCAATTTGACCTCCGGACTGCTGCCCTATAGGCCAGTCCGGGCCTGGCTGTAGGTAGTAAAAGCTACGACTGTCTTGGTGGGTACTGCTGGACGCGTCCAAGCTGCGCACTGCAGCCTCACCTTGAAAGCACGTCCAGTGTTTTCGTCTGCAGGATGATGTTCAAGTAGGTGCATCTGCTCACCAATTTTTTCGCATCCTTCATCAAACTGAAACGGGCACGCACGCACGCACGCAATAACAAACACGCAAACTTAGCAACGAAGATCACGGAAGGAGGTCTCTACAGGTAGCTGGACATCAAGATCCGAGCTGCACGGACACCACGTGGGTCTCAGTAACAGCCTCGCTTCACGTCATCGCACACAATGCGCTCGCCACAAAAGAACCACACAACGCCTCGCTTGAGACCTCGTCACGGAGCATAAACCATCCTCCGTTCGTCCGCGCAGCGGCGGCGGCTTCTGGCTAACGGTCAAACGAATAAAGTCGTCACCGGCATCGCGGTCACCGCATTTCAGATACGCTTCCACGGCCGTCTGGAACGCTCTTCCTTCCGATATCAAGAAGCCACTGGAGCTATGCACTTTTAAATCTAAATTGAAAACGCATTTCTATAGAATTAACTTATTTTTATTTTACTAGGTAAGGCCCACTGAACTATGTAGCTCCTATTCAGAAGCGACCTGGCCACAAATGATATCTCAATTAAGTGGTTTATCACGTGGAAATTTATAGCAGCCATGTACTCAAAACGCACGTTGATTCTAAATGTGGAGAGAAAAATCGATGTGACCAAGGGGAGAGACACGCAAACTCCAAATATACAGCAGATGTCAGGGTCGAGATCGAATCCACGACCTTCTGTATACCAGGCGAGGTAGTTAACATCTCCTAGCCACCGTGATGATGATGATGAGAGAGAGACACGCAAACTCCAAATAAACAGCAGCAGGCGTCAGGGTCGGGATCGAACCCACGACCTCCTGTATACCAGGCGAGGCAGTTAATATCTCCAAGCCACCGTGATGATGAGAGAGAGAGACACGCAAAACTCCAAATATACAGCAGATGTCAAGGTCGAGATCGAATCCACGACCTTCTGTATACCAGGCAAGGTAGTTAACATCTCCTAGCCACCGTGATGATGATGATGAGAGAGATAGACACGCAAACTCCAAATACACAGCAGCAGGCGTCAGGGTCGGGATCGAACCCACAACCTCTTGTACAACAGGCGAGGCAGTTAACACTGCCTTTTCGTTATTTAGTTATCCACAATTGTATCCGGCCTCACGCCACGACACGAATCCACTCGCAAAATCTCGCACAGCAGCTCCGCGAACCCTTCACGTCGGAGAACGGGGCACCCGCGGGAAGCGGACACCACAGGGCTACCTCCGAGGTACCCTTGAAAGGCGAACCCCAAAACGGCTACAGAGGGGGGGTCCTCTTTTTTAATCCTTTATATTAAGTTCGCTTGCTTGCGTGCTTGCTTGCTTGCTTAGGACCGTGCAAATATTTCGGTCGTTTTTTAACCCACTTCCCGTGATCCAATCGAGCTGACATTTTGCACACAGACTCGTTGTGCGAGACAATTAATGTTCGTGAAAATTTTTTCCAAAATTTTACACTGTTTAGGGAAAACAAATTAAATATTTCATTACCAATTGTTTAATACTGGCAGACAATCATCTGACCCATAGGTGGCAGCCATCTCAAGCCAGAGGACGAGAGGACTCTAGCCGCCACGCATATTAAGGATTTATAGTGAAAAACTTTGTTTTTACGGGTTATACTTATTTGTAACTCACGTGTATATCCTGGCCGCATCTTCGACACCCTTGATGTCCCCGCCCTTGCCCAGGAAGCAGTCGAGGCCCTTCAGGAGTTCCTTTGGGTCGATGGGACCAGGACCCATGGCTATGGACCTGTACCTGGGACACGCGAGGAGGAAGACATCGACGTCAGAGGGCACCACCAACACCACCAACAACACAACCACCAACCCCACCACTAACCCCAACACTAACCCCAACCCCACACCACCACCAACCCCAACCCAACCACCAACCCCAACACAACCACCAACCCCACCACCACCGCCATTCCAACCCCAACCCCAACCCCACACCACCACCAACCCCAACCCAACCACCAACACCACCACCAACCCCAACACCACCGCCACCCCCAACCCAACCACCAACCCCACCACCACCACCACCAACCCAACCACCAACCCCCAACACAACCGCCTTCACCAACCCCAACCACCAACCACCAACCCCAACCCAAGCACAAACCCCAACACCACCACCAACCCCACTAACCCCAACACCACCACCAACCCCACAAACCCCAACACCACCACCAACCCCACTAACCCCAACACCACCACCAACCCCACAAACCCCAACACCACCACCAACCCCACTACCCCCAACACCACCACCAACCCCAAAACCACCACCAACCCCAACACCACCGCACCAACCCCAACCAAACCCACTACCGCCGCCACCAAAATCCGCGACGCCGGGGGAAACTCGAAGCGACGTTAACGCCGCCGGCTGTTACTCGATTTAATGCGGTTTTTTTTTAAAGGCATGTTTTCAGATGGGGCGTGATGCGTGCAAGTTAAGCCAACAGTAATCTTCAACTTGGATTATAGATTTGCCAATGTTGCTGATTCTCTCCCCGCTGTTGCGTATCGTTTATGAGCCGCATTTTATTGGATGTCACATTTGGTCAAAATTATTCATCTCGAACACACGTTTGATTTGGCACCCTGAGATATACCGCACGGGAAGCGCAGTATAAAGGATGATTATTGTAAAATCAGTTTCCCATTGCTTGACATTTGTATTTTACTACAGCTCTGCTGCACCAACAGTAAAACATCTTTACAGTATCGCCTCGCTGTTCACGAAGCCGCTATCAGCGATGTTGGCTATCCGCGAATCGCATCAGGAACTCTACACGACTGCATCGATGGAGAAAGTGATGGTAAAGCGATGGGAGATGAAGCGATCAGATGGGTGTATTTAATAACTTATTTACGTATTTCTTTAAGGTAATTCATTAAAAATGTCTTCGTAGGCCATTATGACTTACCCGCTACATTTTCTATTCACGAGGCATCTCCGGAACGTATCTCTTGCGGGTAACGCCGGAACGATATACTTTCTAAGAGTTCAGCTGCGGTTTGTTCAACGCAAGGTAACATCGCGGAGCGGTGGCGCAGCGATTAGCGGACACAAACTACAAACCCGTCGACTCGAGTTCGATTGCCGAAACCGTGGCTAACAAAACAGCGGCGAGTTGAAATTCAAAACCGTCCCGTACACCCCCCCCCCCCCCCCCCACTAACATCACCAACCCAGCAGTGACTTGGCACATGCTCAAACACCTGCCGTGCCCGATACGGCGCGGGGAGAACGGCTGTGGCAAGGGCTGCGAAATCTCACGGTACGGTCACGGGCAATTCAACTTTCACATTGTGCACTGGGGGCTGAAATAAAATAGCCTGAGTTCACAATGGCATACACTCCTCCTAGAAATATGGAACGTACATGTTGAAACTTCTTTCATGCCTCACTGGGTTCCCAACTTAAGTCCACTGTAAAACACAGAGCCTCCCCCGTGGCTGACAAGTAGCAACTAGGCAGAGTGTCTGAGCCCTAAGATGTTACACGTTTTCAGCTCCGCAACGGGACGATGCCGGGAGATGGCATCCCACCTAATTCAGCGATGCCATCTTGCGATGCCAACCGCAGGGACATCGTGGCCTAGGCCGGCAAGGCTTAAACATTTTAGGGCTGGGTTTTTGTTGTTGTAAATCAGCACGTATCGGGCAATCGTTGGGTCAATCTGTCCGGCTGGTTTTCTCTCGGGCCAAGTTCCTAACGGCAACTCAACTCGACACGATAGTTTATATTTTGGTTAATTCACAAGGGTTATTGTGCCCTTCCCCCCCCCGCCTTCCGTTACAGAATGCATTAAAGTTTGCAATATTTAATGGTGTATCTGCTACTTGGTGCTCACCAATGGACAAGCGTTTACGCAAATTCTCAACTAATTTGGGTTAATTTTCTTAAAATGAAAGGAATTCTCAGGGCCACCAATGTAAACCTCCAACTGCAAAGCAAATCTCTCAGCTCTTAAAAAAAGGGTCTTTGCCCGAAACGTCAGCCCACGTTGCAAGGTAGCGCTAACGTACAGCGGGCAATGTGTATTCTAATGCATCTGTACATGTGATCGGAGTGATCTCGGCTTTAATTGACCCACACAAGAGGCCGCAACTTTAATAAATAAGCAATGAGGGTGAAACTTTTTACGCGTTTTAAAGTCATAAGAGTCCTAAGCTGTGGTCATTTTATTCACCGTACCACAGCAGTTCCAATGTAAACATTTTGCATATATGTTTTGTAATTATGGGTTAAGTGATGACAGGGGTTTATTGCTAACCCGTTATTATCCACAAGTCCACGCGAGGCTGGTGAGGAGTACGGGTTGCAAGTGGAAGGCACTGCCACTTAAAAAGAGTAAAAGTTGTGCCTACCCACAATAGTGATAATTAGTAACCAATTACTGGAATAACGTCAACGGGTTTCGGACAAAATAAGGCAGAATGAGGCGTTCATGAGAACTTCTTCGTCTCAAACGAAGCGTCTAGCGATGCTGCCTGAAGGCTAGCCAAACCCATCACGTCTAAGGGTCAAAAGTTCGTGAGTGAGGCTACCCCAGCCTGGTTTTCGTACGTGACGATATGAATTACATCAGCCCGGTCACCAGCGAAGGCTGCAATTCCTTTAACAAACTATTTTGTACATTTGGAACCTCATTTGCCAGTAAAAAATATGATAATTGTTTATTTACCCTTCTATCTGGCAACAAAACGGACACCTTTTATTTTTTACAAAGAGTCATGTTTACATAGACCACAATACCTGGAGCCATAATGCAAACAAAAAACATAACTCTGATAATGTATGCACTGTCCTTGAAGTTGATTGGTCCACACCCGAGACAGCTTTCCTTAGAGCCTAGTCTCACATGGGTTGGACCAGATGACGCCTTTTGGCACATTATCAGAGTTATGTTTTTTGTTTGCATTATGACTGCAGGTATTGTGGTCTATGTAAACATGACTCCTTGTAAAAAAAAAAGGTGTCAGTTTTGCTGCCAGATAGAAGGGTAAAAAAACAATTATCAAACTATTTTGTATTTACCAGGTAAGGCCTCCCATCGAGCGGTGTAGCTTTTCGTCAGAAGCGACCTGGATATCGCAAACAGTATCTCAACGAAGTGGCTTATCGTCACGTGGAAATCTATAGCAGCAGACAAATATTCTGAAACGTGTTTCGAATCGTGGAGGGAAAGAGACCGGAGGGAATTGGTAATTAAGGCAGGCAAAGCGTGGCACACAAAAAAAACGCCTGATGATATTATTGTATGATAATTGTTTCTTTACCCTTCTATCTGGCAACAAAACTGACACCTTTTTACAAGGAGTCATGTTTGCATAGACCACAATACCTGCAGTCATAATAACAAAAAACACAAAGGCGTCATCTGGTCCAACCCATGTGAGACTAGGCTCTCAGGAAAGCTGTCTCGGGTGTGGACCAATCAACTTCAAGGACAGTGCACATTATCAGAGTTGTGTTTTTTGTTTGCATTATGACTGCAGGTATTGTGGTCTATGCAAACATGACTCCTTGTAAAAAAGGTGTCAGTTTTGTTGCCAGATAGAAGGGTAAAAAACCAATTATCATATTTTTACTGGCAAATGAGGTTCCAATGTTGAATATTATTGTACTACGGCTACCAAACGCCAGGGAGGCTAAAGGACGGATGACCGAGTCGGTAGCCCCCTATCCACGCCCAGTCTCACATAGCCACGCCCAGTCGACCGCTAGACCTGCAAAGTGGGAGTGGCTTATTCGAGTAGGCCCTGACCACTCCTCTTAGCCCCAGCCACCACTCGGGAAAACCCCGACGATGTATTACCCACGGGAGGAGGAGCAAGAAGCCACGATGATATTTTAAATGCCACATTTTTTTTGGCTTTACTTTAAATTCAGGGGAGGAGGAGGGGGGGGGGGGTGACTATCATGAGCGTTACAAATGGTGGAAAGGAAACTACGTAAAACACAAGTAATCTTTGCGGTGGCACAAATCTATATTATATTATATTCGTAGTTCTTTCGATGAAGTCACGTAGGTAAAATATGAAATTAAAATTAATAAAAAGATTTTTTATTAATAAAAAAAAGATAAAATTATAAAAACAAATTATTTTATTAATTAATATACAAATTTTTTTATTTATTATTAATTTTAATTTCATTTTTTACCTACGTGACCTTACCGAAAGAACTAAGAATATGAATCCTTGCAGTCACGAAAGCTTCAAATCTAGAACTATATTGTATTATATTTCTGGCTTTTTTGTTGGCGCTTTGGGCTCTCAAAGTACGTACGGCCCCTTTGTCCATCCACTACCGGCTGAGGACCTCCCCCCAAGTCGTACGGGTAATGGGGATGGTTTAACCATACTTCGCGGCGGTCAGCGATGATTGGTAGAGGTGCCCAGGACCGGTTCGGATATCACGCACCGATGTTAGCCGTGTTCGGGAACTCAACTTGGCTTGCAGGGTTCCCAAGCGCACTCCGTTCCGAGTTCCCCTTTTTGAGTGACAACCCAGCTTATATATAAGCTCCAAGCTTGGCAGTGTCTCAATCTTCACCTGAAGACGGCTGCTTGCGTTGTAGCCGAAACGTCGTGAGAATTATTTTATTATTTTATTACTTCCCTTCTACGTGACTTTACCGAAAGAACCAAGAAGATGATACCAGAGAGCCTTGAAAAACCCATGCCGACAAGGAAGAGAACTGGCAAATCTCTACTGCACAGTGGTTGGGTAAAACT